TTTTTCCGTATCCTTTGCTTTCTATTTTTTTTTTTTCCTTTCTTTCTTTCTTTCTTTCCTTCTGTTCTTCCTTTCCTTCCCCCTTCCCTTCCCTCCCCTCCCCTCCCCTCTTCCCCCTCCCTCCCCTTCCCTTCCCCTTCCCCTTCCCTTCCCCTCCCCCTTCCCCTTCCCCTCCCTCCCCCCTCCCTTCCCCTCCCCTCCCCTCCCCTCCCTTCCCCTCTCCTTCCGGTTCCCCCCTTCTCCTCTCCATTCCCTTTCCCTTTTCCTGCCACTCTTCAGCTGCCTACTTGCAGAATTCAAGTTATAGATTCTTCTTCGAAGAAATTTAAGAGCAGCTGAAAAGGAAGAGTCTAAAAACAAAGAAATAAAGTATTTTGCTATTAAGAACTGATGTTGTGTGGTGTTGTGTCAAAATGGGAGCGTGCACAGAAACAGACCTTCCTTCTGAAATGGTGGTTGGTGCTTGAAGTGTGGAGGGATGGGTATGTTGTTTTTGTGATGTCTGTTGACAAAAGCATTTCCTTTTATTGTACAATGTACAGTGACAATAACGTTATTCTATCATTCAAAATACTTTAACGTTTCTATGGTTATTGGACCATTAAGTGAGAGGTAGCCAACGCTCTTCTGATACTCTGGTGTCTATATGTGGGGGATTTGCTCTGAAATGTCCCTGTTTCTGGAATGACTGAGGACTTTGTGTCTATGGAAAGAACAGTAGGACACCCGTGTGATAAATCACTAAGGCCACCCAGCCCAAGCCCTTTCGGCTAGGAAGGAAGACCAGGGAAAGCCCTCCCAGAAGACGGCCATCCAGCCTGTTGAAATAGCTCCAGGGAATGAGATGCCAGAGACCCCCAAAGGGAATTTGGTCCAGCCCCCTCCAGCCAGCAGAGAAACTTACTCCCTATGATGTCGAGCTCTTTTGGGAGGGTCTCCCGGTGGAGGAGATCCCTGAGGACCGCTCAAAAGGGCCCTGGAACCTTGGTGAGGCCAGCGAAAGCCAATCCAAAGAGTAAAAATATTTAAAATAAAATAATCTCACCGAAGGCGGAAGAATTCAGCGAGGGAGGCGTTTATTTTGCGATTCAGCTGCAATCGGATGCAATTGTAGGAATCATTTCACTACAAGCATGGTCTTACAGAATTTCCAAGCATTTTTATAGCATACAGACAAAGGAAAACAGTTTCAAAATTCCCGCCCGCCCTCTGCCGGCCGGCTTCGCGCTGATTGGCTGGCAGCGGAACAGCTGGGAGGAGGCTTGGCGGCACGCCTTGCCCCCGGACCAATCAGCGGGCTCCGCCATCTCTGGGAGGCCAATCAGTGCCTTCCTAGCGCTTCTGAAGATGGACCAATCAGTGGCTAGGAGGCGGGACGAAGCCTGACAATGGCCGAGGAGATGATGAGCTTAAGGGCATCTGCCAGCTGGAAATGCGAGGCGGGGAACAAAGGGTTTTTCCGACATCGGACCACAGGGGGGATCAACGATGTCTAATGCAAATATAATCTTTTGTTCCGGGTCACCATAAGTTCCCTGATCCCATTAGACATGCTCAGAGGATGGGGCAGGGTCCATGATGGCTATGGTTCCATGCAGGGTGAATTAATCAAGGGTGATTGAGGGAGAGGCTGGGGCCCTCCCTCAGGCAGTTCCTGGTCACAGCAGTTTTTGTGGGGCAAGGGTCAAGGGGACGAGGGTACAGAGGAAATTCATAAGGTTACATATATCAAAATCATAGGCAATAAGCATCACATGGACTCATACAAAGTTGCTTCATAATATCATATACAACCCATACCCGCCCTGCACCCAGACCATTCTTATTAGAATATTTCTTCATTTTATTGGAAAGAACTAGAAATCCCAAAACTCCCAGTCGAGGATCGTGGAGGCAGAGGTCAGCCCGTAGTTCTGGCTGACCAGTAGAAAGTCCATTCCCCTGGGCAGAAGCTGGAACTGAAGAGGAAACAAGGTCCCGTTGTTTTGTCCTTTGGAAACTAGAACTCCCATCTGAGGACCGGGCCTCCTGCCCGGCCCTCTCCCCAAGGCTTCCCGGGGGGCAGCTGAGGTGGGTCCCCAGTGGCGGGGGCCATCCAGGAGCGAGCGGCAGCGAGCGGAGCGAAGCAGCCCGGCGAAACCGGCTGAGTTTGACAATCAGCTGTTTTCTCTGTTCGAATTTATTACTTTAAATAAAACAATTATTCCTCGGGTGTGAGAGTCCAAATCGAGTCCAAACCCTAACTCTAACTCTAACCCTAACCCTAACCCCTAACCCCTAACCCAAAACTCTAACCCTAAACCCTAACCCCTGACCCTAGCCCCAGCCCCAGCCCCAGCCCCAACCCCAACCCCAACCCTAAACCCTAAAACCCTAACCCTAACCCTAACCCCTAACCCTAACCCTAACCCTAACCCCTAACCCCTAACCCCGACCCCGACCTTGACACCGACCCCGACCCTGACCCTAACCCTAACCCGTTCCCATTGTGAAATGATCCAAAAGTTTTCCAGAGGAAATTCCAGCCTGATTGCCTCAACTCTGGAATCAAATAGGAATTCCAAGTCTTATTGTTGATGTCAAAGTTCCAGGATATGGGTTTTTCTGTGTTTGCCGATGGTCTCCTTTCAATAGCTGACCGCTGTCTTGAGGAGTTTCCCCCTTTCCCATGAGGAAGGGGTGAAGGCGTTGGGTGCCAAGGAAATGTGGAAATATAGGAATCCAGAAGAAATTCATATTAAACCTCCCTTCCCTCCCACCAGAGAAATTGATTAAAATATTAATTTTATTAAAGCATGAGTCCACAGTTCATATTGGGGAAATTCGGATTGGAAAAAGAGTTCATTAGAGCCAAAAACAAATAAGAAGAAAGTCCAGCAGTCACAAAAAGGTGTTTGATTATTTCCACTAAGCCAAAGGATGGATTCCCGCAGCGCCAAGGTCGAGTTGGTCTTTGGTCCTTGGGAAACTATAACTCCCTCCAAGGACTGGAGCCCCGAGGCCAGGCTCTTCCCCAAGAGCCTCATGGGGTAGCCGCACCCAGTCTTCAGGGCCAGGGCCTGGCAGAGGCGATGAAATGGCGAAGCGCAGCAGGGCGGCAGCAACGGAACCGGCTTCTTTGACAATCAGCTGTTTCTTGTAAAATATATTCTTTAAAACAAAAGGTTTATTCCCCGTGCGTAGAAGCCCAAAATGCAAAAAGCGAGATAGTAGATAGTGTTAAAAGCAAGCTAGGGAAAATATGCCATCAAAATGGAGGCGATCCGCCATCTCGCGGATACTGGGGCCCCAAAGGGGAGACTCCGTATCCGCGGTTTGGCCGAGCGCCAGAAAGGCACCCCGGGCAGGCCTGCAGTCTCCCACGGCCTGGAAAAGGTTAGTTTCATGCACTGGGATAGTTTCAGGCAAGAAGAGACACAAAGTATCGAGCTAGAGAGCCAAAAAGTTGCAATTTCGTTAATCTTTATTTGGGGATTTGTTACAAAGTTGGTAGGAAAGTGAAAAGAGAGAGAATAGGGCTGTGTTGAGTCCCTGGTTCAGCTTGCTGTTGGGGCACATTTCATCAGTTTGGCCCAGGAACTGCGGAACTCCCTGCTGCAGGTCAAATAAATTTAAAGGCAGAGGTCTGAGCTGCGCTCGGTATCACCCCAACCCCTTACCCTAACCTTAACCATAAACCCTAACCCTAACCCTGCCATGAAAACCTTCGACAATGCATTGATATTTCATTACAGACCATATTTTATTATTATACAGTTATTATTATTATTTTTATTATTATTATATAGTTGTTATTATTACATAAAATATTGTGTCTTGTATCTTATTATTATATCATAAAATATCATATATATCATACGTTGTTATTATTATTATTTAGTACACAGACCATATCTTATTATTCTTACAGTATTATTTTATTACAACACAGGATTTAGACACACCGTTGGAGCCATTCCATAATCCTAGAATCCTAGAATCAGAGTGGGAAGAGACCCCCTCCGGGCCCTCATCCTCCAGCCAACCCCCTTCGGCCAAGAAGCAGGAATGTTGCAATCGAAGCACCCCCGACAGATGGCCATACAGCCTCTGCTCAAAAGCTTCCAAAGAAGGAGCCCCCACCTATTATTATAATGAATAATAATAATAATAACAATGATGATGATAATGATAACAGTAATTATAGGACGAAGAACTTCCAGGCTGCGGAAGAGTTCCATTGGGAAGCCTGGCTCCTGGCGGGAGCACCGCGCATGCGCAGTGGAGGGAGGGAGGACGGGAGTGCACTCGCTTTCTGCGCCTGCGCGGCTGGCCTCACCCCCCCCGCCTTCCCCTCCCATACTCCGCATGCGCGGCTCCTTCCCTTGCTGCAGCACTGCTCCGCCCTGGCCACGCCCCCTCGCCCCCGAGGCTCCTGATTGGTTCCCGGCGCCCAGGAGAAGGGAGGGAGGGAGGGACGCGCGAGCTTCTTAAAGGCGCAGGACACACGCTGGCATCGCCCTTCTCCCGCTCTTCTCCTTCAGACGGAAAACTTATTGCTTTATTCTGTTATTATTATATTCCCGGGAAACTCATAACAGCCCATTATATTCTATTGACCTCCAATATTCTATTATTATAATTCTATTCTATTCTTTGACCGCGGAGTCCCAGCAGGGAGGAAGGCGCAAGGGAGGGCGGAAGTCCCGCCTCCCGCCTTCGGGCGCCATCTTGGGGCCGGGCGGAAGTCCAGCGAGAGAAGGAGGCCTCCGCTTCCTAGCGAGCCGGGGGGGCGCGCTCACTTCCGGGAGGGGAGAGGAAAGGGATGACCGCGGAGAAGAGGAGAGGAAGGCGGAGGTCCAGCGAGAGAGGCGGGGTGACCGGGGGTCGAGGGAGCCGGGTCGGGGGTCGAGGGGGCCCAGCCAGCCAGCCCACCGGCCACACGACCTCGGGCAAGGCCGGCTCTTGGGCTCCGGAACGGAGGTGCCCCCCACCTGAGTGCCTTCCGGTCAGTCAGTCAGTCAGTCGGTCAGGGGGAGGCTTCCCCTTGAGGGTGGGGGTGTCTCGCCATAATGGCGCTTCCAAGCCATTGAATGTAAATCCAGGTGATCAGCTGAAACATTCCCAGCAGCCCCAGCAGACAAGAGTCCTTTGCCCCGCCCTGGTCATCCTTCCACAGGTACATAAACCCCTCTTCCCTACTTCCAACAGACCTCACTCACTCACTCCCTCCCTCTCAGGAGGCTTGCCAGAGATGATGCAGGCGAAACGTCAGGAGAAAAACTGCCTCCAGAACATGGCCATATAAGAAAAACCCACAACAACCCGTCATAGAAATAATTGTAATGGCCATCATAAAGGTAATCCTAAAAGGCATAAAATGCTGCGATAAGGAGTAAGATAGAGTCATAATACTATAATAAACAACAATATAATAATAATAATAATAATATGAAAATAATAACAATATACTAAATGGCATAAAATAAACAATATAGTAAAATATAGCAATAGTAAAAATGATGGGAATATAATAGCAATAATTTATAATTATGATAGATACATAAAAGTAATAGAACAACATCATAATAATAATACATAAAGTCATAATAATAGAATATAAAACAATCATATCAGAAGAAGAATTTTTTTTTGTCATGTCCGGAGCGTCCTGTTGTGAGAGAATTGGCCGTCTGCAAGGACGTTGCCCAGGGGACGTTGCCCGGGTGATTTTGATGTTTAATCACCCTTGTGGGAGGGAGGCTTCTCTCATGTCCCCTTTGCGTGAGGAGCTGGAGCTGACAGAGGGAGCTCATCCGCCTCTCCCCAGATTCGAACCTGCGACCTGTCAGTCTTCAGTCCTGCCGGCACAGGGGGGGGGGGTTTGAACCCACTGCGCCACTCATCGGGGGCTCCAAGAAGAAGAATAACAACGTTAAGTAATACAATAAAATAATATGATGATAAAATACAGGTATATTGATTTTAGTAATAATAAATAATATTAAATAAAGGAGAGGAGGGGGAGGAGGAAGAAGTAAAGGGGGGAACGTGTATATATCTATCTATCTATATATGAATCTTCTTTCTTTTCTTCCTTTGGTGGGAGGGAGAAAGTTGGATGTTTTAGCTGGATGCATTTTTATTTATTTCGTTGATTGGGGTTTTTAATTACATTGATTTATTTATTATAGCCCCCAGTGCCACGGTGGGTTAAACCACTGAGCTGCTGAGCTTGCTGACCAACAGGTCAGCGGTCCAAATCTGGAGAGCGGGGTTAACTCCTGCTGCTATTCCCTCCAGCTTCTGCCAACCTAGCGAACACTTACAACAATGCAACCTGAGCTCTGCCACATCCACAATGGGGGACCTTCCCACAGCGACACCAGAGGCACTCTAAGTGGCCGGCTTCTGGTCAAAAGACATTTAACATAATGCCAAGTTCTTTTTAAAAAAAACTTTGTTTTTTAAAAAGCCTTTTCACTGTATCCTCAACTTGCTTCTGACATGATAAATAAATGTCATTGCAGTATATATTTACATATATTTCTCGTGTGTGTGCGTGTGTGTGCGCGTGCATATATATATAATTGCATTATTTTGTCAGAATATTTTTCAGTGGTCTCGATATATTATATTCTCTATATATGTGTTTTATATTATTTTTCAATGCTATATATATGTTTATTATGTTATATATAATTATACAGATATATGTGTGTGTGTGCGCAATTAAATATATTTTAAAATTATGTTGGGTGTTTATTCATTTAATCATTTCCCACTCTTTTTGACCTCATGGACCAGCCCATGCCAGAGCTCCCTGTCGTCCATCACCACCCCCAGCTCCTTCAAGGTCAAGCCAGCCACTTCAATGATACCATCCATCTTTCTCTTGGTCTGTCCCTCTTCCTTTTTCTTGCCATTTTCCCCAACATCATTGTCTTCTCCAAGCTTTCCTGTCTTCTCATGATGTGGCCAAAGGACTTCCTCTTTGCCTGTAATATCCTTCCCTCCAGTGAGCAGCTGGGCTTTCTTTCCTGGACTGGTTGGATCACAGTCCAAGGCACTCTCAGAATTTTCCTCCAACACCACAGCTCAAAAGCATCTCTCGTCCTTCGCTCAGCCTTCCTTATGGTCCATCTCTTGCATCCATAGGTTACTACAGGGAATACCATTGCTTTAACTATATGGGTCTTTATTGCCAGTGTGACGTCTCTACTCCTCACTATTTTGGTCGTTGCTCTCCACCAAAGAAGGAAATGTCTTCCGATTTCCTGGCCGCAGTCTGCGCCTGCAGTCATCTTCATGCCTGGAAAAACAAAGTCTGTCACTACCTCCATGTTTTCTCCTTTTATTTGTCCAGATCGGAGTGAATCAGAGCGACTTTATTCACTAAGAACCGAGCAAATGCCTCACAGCGAGCTGTCGAAGGGCCAGGGACCCTGTCACAATTGGTTGGGTTCAATAAACCTCTAACCATTTGAAACAGCTCAGCTAGACGGTTCCTCACAGACGCAATGTTGGCCGCAATGTGAGATTTACTTGCAGCCTCCACTCCCTTGCATAGGCACACACCCGTGCTCGGTCTGACTCATTGTGAGATGGCCGCTACACACCTTCTCGACCCCTCTTCATTCGCTTCATCGCTGCCAGCTCCTCGTTGAACCCAGGGGCTGGTTTAGCTCTGCTACTCAAGAGGGGTCGCTCTGGAACAATTGTGTCGATTTCCATGGTCAATAGCAGGAGATCTGTTATAGAGAGCAACCAAAGCGTCAACAGAATCGCCTACATTGTTCTGTCTCTGCATCGTGAACAAGAAGCATGTAAGTCTCAGTCTGTTGTAACTAAGGCAGTAATGTAAACAAAACATAAGATCCGTTTGTTGAAGCAGAACTCTTGGCTGAAGTCAGTTAATTGGATGATAAGAAGCAAGTTGACCAGCGAATTGCCTTGATAGGCTATTGGTAAAATATCAAAGAGGAGGGAAGATGGTGCCAAGGCTATTGAGACCTCACAGGGGCTCTAGTAAGAAAAACCTCCATCCAAGTCAATCCGCCTTCCTGGGTCTCCCCTCTAGCTCGACTCCAGCTCAACTCCCTGTGTGACTACTCAGGGTCTCCGAGGAGGCCTTGGGAGGGCATATTAGAGTGGTACGGACGAGGATAAGGAAGAAGACCAGGAGAGGAAAGGGAAAGCGCAGCCGCCATTACAACTTGGCCAAATTGATCTTGCATTCTCGTCTGCCTGCTATAGATCGAGGTACTATCAACACGCTTGGCCGGTTTCCCTCTGCTACCACTATCTCCGTTGGTACTGCCGTCATCTTCACCACTACCTCATTGCGGTCTGGGCCAAGCCCTGGTGTGAGCTGCCTTCAGGAGGCTTTCTGGGAGACTGACTGGCATCCGCTGTTCAATCCACGGATCGGTGGAGGCTGGCTCCACGTGGTGGATAACATTTGCTGGTCACTTCCAGGCCTCGCTGCCTTGGGACTTTCCATTGCCACTCAGCGTGTTACCCACTCCTTGCCCAGCATCATTGCCTGCCAGCCGACACCTGCGCCATGTTGCTCCTACCTCTAACTTTACAGCCCTGTCATCTGATTCCAATTTGGCCGCTCTCTACCGAGCCATTTCTGCCACTGTTCTTCAGCGGCAGATGTCACTAAAACATCATTGCAGGTTTAATCAATGTTTATTTAATATATGTGTGGGAATGAATGGAAGGATGTATGGATGGAGTTAATCATTTTGGAGACACCAATTCTAAAAAACCAAGGCCTGCAATGACCTGCTTGCTGGGACTGTAATTAAAAGTTGCTAATGAGAACTGGAAAGTAAACTCCGATAAGAACTGTGACAATGGTTCTTTCAAGTTAAGGAAATGTTTGCAACATTCCTTATATTAAGAAGGAAGTCAACACAAGCCTTGTGTTTGTCAACAACAATCAGGAAGAGTCAACATCTGGCCAGGAAACTATGATGGAGCCAGGATGGAAGACGTCTATCATTAATTTACAACTTTGGGGCGACATCAGCAGAATATTCCTATAAAAGACTCAGTCTAATAATTCTCAAACTGTGACAGACCTGAGGAGTCTGATTCACCCGCCATGCTCTGCTCCATAGGAAGGAGAGAGATGGTCTATTCGGAGAGTGTCAGATATGCTTTGGGAAAGCATGATTCTGGTCACTTTGGGGCTTCTTTCTCAAGGGAAGAGGAAGAGTGTGCTTTTGGAGTCTTGGATTTTGTGTAGGGAGTCAGGTTTGGAAAACAGATATCTGATCCTTGGCATTGTGCTTAGGGAAAGGGTGCATTTTGGAGTTTTGAAGTTATGGCGTTATGGAACTTTTGGAACGATGCCTTGGCAGGCTGCAGGAAAGCAGGGTCTGGCCTAACAGGGGCTTCTCCGAGGACGGAGAAAATGAGATGGTAATATCGGATTGCCTGAGGATGAATGCGTGTGCATGTGGTGAGAATGCTGGGTAGGTGCGGGGAATGCAGTGGATGTAGCGTACCTGGATTTCAGTAAAAGCTGTTTAAAATACACGCTGACTAAAAACAAGGGTAAAAAGCTACAAGAAGTGCCGGCGTGTTTCAGTCTCAAGGTAGGCAAGCAATGAGAATTAAGAAACAACCAGTTGCTTGGGCACACAAATTAACATCACTTAAAAATTGCTTAAAACACAAGTTGGCTAGAAACTTAAGTAAAAGACTTTCAGCCTGTGTCTAAGTTTGGGAATTGTCTAATCCTGGCTGGCTCAGTTGACCAGCTATTAGGATTTCTGGGAGTTGAAGGCCAAAAACACCTGGGGACCCCAGGTTGAGAACCACTGCACAAAAACTCCTTCCTTCCTTCCTTCCTTCCTTCCTTCCTTCCTTCCTTCCTTCCTTCCTTCCTTCTTTTGTTCCTTCCTTTTGCCCTTCTTTTGGCCCTCCTTCTCTCACTCTTCCCGTCCTTTCCTTCTATCCATTCTATCACCATTCTTTCCTTTTTTTCTGCCTTTCCTACATACCTTCCTTAAACCCTCCTGTTTTTCCCTCCCTCCCTCCCTCATTCATTCCTGGCTTCTTTTCTTCCTTCCCTGCCATGTGTTTGTTGAATCACCTTTGTCTCTTATCTTCCCTCACAGCATCTGAATCTGTCCCTTGTTTATGAATCTGTGATGGCTTTTTAAGGTTTCTGCGTACACCCTTGAGACGCTTCATGCCTCTATTTCTTGGTATTTCCATTGTCAACATGATCCACGAGGGGAAAAGAGGATAATGTTGGAGGCAAAGGAGGTTTGGGGCTTCGTGTTTAACCTTTTGCTTCTTCTTTCTTGACCAGGGACACGAATCATAGATGGAGGTTCTGTGGAGCCACCCCTGGGATGACGAGAAACAAGCCCACTTCTAGTAGCTATTGAAGAACTTGGAAACCAAAGTCAGTAAGGAAACCAGTCCTATAGGAAAAACATCATCTCAAGGTGCCAATCTTGCTGAATTCTTAAACTCACTTTAGATTGGAAAGGGAAAAACAAGAGTGAAGTATCAATACTGCAATTATATGAACATAACGTTGTTGCCATGGAGGAGAATGTGCATAAATGTATTGAATGTGAAAAGAGTTTTAAACAGGATAGGGATTTGAAGACACATCAAAGGACTCACACTGGAGAGAAATCCTATAACTGCCTTGAGTGTGGGAAAAGCTTCACTCATAGTGGAAATCTACGTTCACATCAAAGGACTCATACTGGAGAGAAACCCTATATGTGCCTGGAGTGTGGACAGAGCTTCACTCAGAGGGGAGCTCTACAAAGACATCAAAGGACTCACACTGGGGAGAAACCCTATACATGCCTGGAGTGTGGACAGAGTTTTACTCAGAGTGGACACCTACATTTACATCAATGGACTCACACTGGGAAGAAACCATATATATGCTTGGAGTGTGGACAGAGCTTCATTCAGAGTGGACATCTGCATTTACATCAGTGGACTCACACTGGGGAGAAACCCTATACATGCTTGGAGTGTGGACAGAGCTTCACTCATAGTGGACATCTACGTTTACATCAAAGGACTCACACTGGGGAGAAACCCTATACATGCCTGGAGTGCGGCAAGAGCTTCACTCAGAGTGGTAATCTACGTTCGCATCAAAGGACTCACACAGGGGAGAAACCCTATACATGCTTGGAGTGTGGAATGAGTTTCACTCATAGTGGAAATCTACGTTCACATCAAAGAACTCACACTGGGGAAAAACCCTATAAATGCTTGGAGTGTGAACAAAGCTTCACTCAGAAGGGAGCTCTACAAAGACATCAAAGGACTCACACTGGGGAGAAACCCTATACGTGCTTGGAGTGTGGGCAGAGCTTCACTCATAGTGGACATCTACGTTTACATCATAGGATTCACACTGGGGAAAAACCCTATACATGCCTGGAATGCGGAAAGAGTTTCACTGAGAGTGGACATCTACGTTTACATCATAGAACCCACACTGGGGAGAAACCCTATACATGCTTGGAGTGCGGAAAGAGCTTCACTCAAAGTGGAAGTCTGCGTTCGCATCAAAGGACACACACTGGGGATAAACCCTATCCATGCCTGGAGTGTGGAAAGACCTTCACTCATAGTGGAGATCTACGTTCACATCAAAGAACTCACACTGGGGAGAAACCCTATACATGCCTTGACTGTGGAAAGAGCTTCACTGAGTGTGGAAGTTTACGATCACATCGAAAGACTCACGTGGGGGAGAAACCCTATAAATGCTCAGAGTGTGGGCAGAGCTTCACTCGGAGGGCAAATCTACGTTCACATCAGAAGACTCACACTGGGGAAGAACTCGATACATGCCTGGAAGGAAATTGTTAAGTTTACATTTACAATGACACCAGAGTTTTGTTTCTTAATAATGCTGAGTGATAATCTAGGAAGAAAATGTGTAACATTACTCAAATATATGATAACATTATGTAGAAATTTTTTTGAAAAAAAAACCCTGTTCCTGGTTTGAATGTTTCATTTCCTGTTTAATTGTGCAGCTCTTAGTGTGACTGTAGTTCTTATACTCCAGAAACCTTTTTTGTGGCCGCCACAAATTATGTTGAATTGGTTGAGACTCCATGAGATCTTCATTAAAACTATAGCAAAATGTGCTGCAGGACATCCAACAAAAATATTTTCCCCCCAGTTTATTACAATAGAACCAACTAGGAAATAACATTTATAACCCAGGAATAAAAATCAGTTATCTAGTATAATTGCAGCAAAAATCCTTTATCTTCAGAAATGGAACCAAGTAGTTATTCCAACTCGAGGAAACTGACAGATAAAGATCTGCAGATTGGCGCGGAGGGAGGAAGTGACTCTGCCGATTAAGGAGAAATCCCTGATCACTTTCAGGAAACACTGGAACCTTTTAATTGCTTTTTCATGGCAACACTAGGGTCGTAGGTCCAGTACAAGACTGATGAATTGGAACAGTGATACCAAAGGCAGGTGTGTGTTTGTATAGGATTGTCTAAATGGTGTGGAATGAAAAGGTATGAAGACCAATGGAGAGAGGCCGTGCGGTTTGTAGAACATCTGTTTGTTTGTTTCTTAAGAGTAGTTTGTGTATGTATTTGGCTATGTAGGTGTGTGTTTTGTTGGTGTGTTGTAAACCGCTAGTTTGTTAGCTGCATACTTTTAGGATTATGCATTACAAAATTTCTGCTCCTTTTGTGATATTTTTGCTTTTTACCTTTAAGAAAATAGTTTCTCAAAAAGTCAGAAATTTAGAAATTTTTAAATTGCTGAGACAGGAGTGGCCGATACACCTGAATTTAGACCAATATGATTTTAGAGTAATATTAAAACACATTATTAAAACCACGCAATCCGTGGCCGTGGGAGAGAGTGATAGTACAGTTGGATGAACTCGGCCAAAGGCGTTTAGGCTGCTGCCCTGGTTTTGCAAGACCTGAACTGGACTGGGATTCGCACACCGTGGCTTGGGCGCCTCTCCTTCATGGGATCCCCATAAGCCCAAATTCACCTGATGGCTGTCAGTGACAGCATCAACTATGGTCTTGGATGATTATCAGTATAAAATAAAAATGAGAGAGGCACTACTGTCCAAAAACTTCCCAATACAAGGATTCCCTTAGAGACAATTAGTAGGACGGTTCAAAGTGGAAAAAACTTATTTGAATTTGTTATTGACAATCCGAAGCTTGAAACTGTTTTGGATTCTGGAGATGACTAAGTTGTTATTGAAATGGAGGAGGAACAGGTGAAAGACGATAGGGTCAAGTGGACACAAACATTTGGTAAACAAATACAAATGGAACAATGGGAAAGGTTCTGGATAAAGAGTTTGTAATTTACGCTGAGTAGAAATATATTTTTGTAAAATGATGTATAGATGGTATGTGACACCAGAAAGGATTGCTAAAATACATAAAATAGTTCTAGCGATGGCTGCGAATGTGGGGGAATGCCCAGTAGTTTTTAATCGTATGTGGTGCTCATGTGAAAGGCCCCGACATACTGGGCAGAAATCCATGCAATTTTAGAAGAAATAGTTAAAGTGACATTTGAAACGAGACCTGAACTCTACCTGCTTGGGATGAATAACTCGATGCAAAGTGCGGAAGGTTACTGCTATACATATTGCAAGGTGGGGCACTGAATTTTGCCATTTATTATGTTGTAAACCGCTTTGAGTCCCATCCCCCCCCTCCCCACGGGTGAGAAAGGTGGTATAGAAATGTCGTTAATAAATAAATAAACAAATAAATAAATGATAACAGCAGCAGGAATTACTTACGCCCACAGACGGAAGGACTCCGTGATTTCGTCATAAGACGATTGGCTTATGAAAACAAGTGAACTTGTGGGAATGAGTAAACTTACTACTTTGATTAAAGAGAAATCTTTTAAGTTTAAGAAAGACTGGGTCCATTTATTTTTATCTGTCTAAATAAAAGAATTACAAAACAAACCCCAACTCTGTATTCCTGCAAAGCAGAGATTTGGACAAGGTGCCCTTTGGGGTCTCCATTATTCACATCGTTCTTCCTCAATGTAATTCTCACATTTGCCCGGAGCCCATTTTTCTCATCAGCATCTTCCTTTTCTGTTGCAAAATGTTTGGGGCCTTTGGCTTCCTTTGAAGAGGACAATTAGAAGCCACTGACTTTACAGAAGCCTTGCTCCTGGGGCAGATAGGAGCCGCCCAAACCAGTATTTGCGATTCATCCTTGGAGGCCCAATTCCGAGGAAGCCAGGCGTTGTGGGTGCCACCTTGGAGAAGGCGTTAAGGCGGCCTCCTGGCTCCTGTCTCCCGCTTTGGGAACAAGGGGCCACGGCCCACCCAAAGCAACTCCAAACACAAATGCCTCCCTCTTAAAGATGCAACGGGATCCCTCTCCGGAGGCAGAATGAGATGGCCCCTGTCTCAGATAACAGATCGTTGGAAGATCGCTGTCGAGAGCATATTGAGGTCTCCAGCTGAATTTCTGCAGGAATTTTTGGGGCCGGGGTTATTTATTTATTTATCGTCATCAGCAACCATTGTATTACAATTCTAACAGAGCAAAACAAACACAGATTAAAAAGAAAAAGGAGAAAGGAAAAAAAAACACACACAGATTTTGCAAATTTGGTATTTGGTTAAATGTCCTTTGACCAGTATCTGGCCACTTGGAGTGCCTCTGGGGTTGCCGCAAGAAGGTCCTCCATTGTGCATGTGGCAGGGCTCAGGGTGCATTGCAGCAGGTGGTCAGTGGTTTGCTCTTCTCCGCACTCGCATGCCGAGGATTCCACCCTGTAGCCCCATTTCTTAAGATTGGCTCTGCATCTCGTGGTGCCAGAGCGCAGTCTGTTCAGCGCCTTCCAAGTTGCCCAGTCTTCTGTGTGCCCAGGGGGGAGTCTCTCATCTGGTATCACCCATGAATTGAGGTGCTGGGTTTGGGCCTGCCACTTTTGGACTCTCGCTTGCTGGGGTGTTCCAGCGAGTGTCTCTGTAGATCTAAGAAAACTATGTCTTGATTTAAGTCGTTGACGTGCTGGCTGATACCCAAACGGGATGAGCTGGAGATGTCTCTGCCTTGGTCCTTTCACTATTGGCTGCTACTTCCCGGCGGATGTCAGGTGGTGCAATACCGGCTAAGCAGTGTAATTTCTCCAGTGGTGTAGGGCGCAGACACCCCGTGATAATGCGGCATGTCTCATTAAGAGCCACATCCACTGTTTTAGATGTGTGAGATGTGTTCCACACTGGGCATGCATACTCAGCAGCAGAGTAGCATAGCGCAAGGGCAGATGTCTTCACTGTGTCTGGTTGTGATCCCCAGGTTGTGCCAGTCAGCTTTCGTATGATGTTGTTTCTAGCACCCACTTTTTGCTTGATGTTCAGGCAGTGCTTCTTGTAGGTCAGAGCACGGTCCAAAGTGACTCCCAGGTATTTGGGTGTGCTGCAATGCTCCAGTGGGATTCCTTCCCAGGTAATCCTCAGAGCTCAGGATGCTTGTCTGTTCTTAAGGTGAAAGGCGCATGTCTGTGTTTTAGATGGATTAGGGATCAGCTGGTTTTCCCTGTAATAGGCAGTAAGAGCACCTAGAGCTTCGGAGAGCTTCTGTTCAACCATCTCAAAGCTCCCTGCTTGAGCAGTAATGGCACGATCATCAGCATAGATGAAACTCTCTGTCCCTTCTGGCAGTGGCTGGTCATTTGTGTAGATGTTGAACATGGGTGGAGCAAGCACGCTCCCCTGAGGCAGGCTGTTCTTCTGTTTCCGCCATCTGCTTCTCTGGCCCTGGAACTCAACAAAAAAGCTCCTGTTTTGTAGCAGGTTTCCTATGAGGCGCGTGAGGTGGTAGTCCTTTGTGATATTATACATTTTTCTCAGGAGGAGGCGGTGGTTCACAGTATCATAGGCTGCTGACAAGTCTATGAAGACAGCTCCTGTGATCTGCTGCCTTTCAAAGCCATCTTCTATGTGCTGAGTCAGGTTCAGCACTTGCGATGTGCAGCTTTTGCCTTTCCTGAAGCCAGCTTGCTGTGGATCAGACAGGGGTCTATTTTTTCCATAATTCTATGCAAAATAAGTCCCTCCAGGACTTTGTAGAGGTGGCACAACAGGGAGATTGCTCTGTAGCTTTTTGGGTCATTACGGTCTTTGCCTGGCTTCAGGATGGCGATGACTCTTGCTTTCCTCCAGATTTTGGGGATCTGACAGGATGCCGTGCAGTTGTTCATCAGCTCCAGCAGCCAGCGCCTTGCCTTTGGGCCAAAGTTCTTGATTTGTTCCATCCGTAGGTCATCCAGGCCAGCTGTTTTGCCATTCTTGCATTTATGGAGAGCCATGTCCAATTCAGTAGATGTAAAGGGTTCATGGAGGTTGTTGTTCTCAATCTCTGGTTGTCTGGCTATTGGTTTCTTTCCTACTTTGGTGGCAAGGTTGGGTTTCCCATTCTTCAAGAGTTGGTGTGCTATCTGATCTGCCTTTATGTTGGCATGGGTATTAGTTTGTGAGGGGTCGTTGCTCAGCCGTCTTAGCAACCTCCACGCCTTCTGGCTGCTCCTGCCCATGTCGACCTCTGTGATCAGCTTGATCCACTGTTCTTTCTTGGCTTCAGAGATGGAGGACACAATGTTCTGCGCTGCCTGAAGAGTCTGCCGGGGTGGGGGAGGGAGAATTACAACATTGTCACTGCTCTGCTAGCCTCTTAGATCCATCGTCAGTGAGGGTCACATTGGTCTCTGGAAGTGGGAGCCAATAGGACAGCTGCCGTAAACATACACCGCCAACCACGTACATACATATGTTTGTCATGATGAAGATGAATGTGTACACACACAGCGATGCGGAAGCCTTTTCCCCTTGACCAAGGAGCAAACTCGTATCAATGTTTGTAGAAAAGAATGTCCAGTTGTTCTCCTTAAGCCGCAAGCCTTCCAGAACTCCAATCTCCTTCCAATGTGACTGAACTCCTTCAACACCTCCAAACACACCACACTCCTCCAACAACTCACTTCTCCACAACCTATTTCTCCAACACAACCCACACCCAGGAGTAGTACTTTTGCTCCTTTATTCCCATAGCAGCTGCCCCACCCTGGCTGCAACCACACAACGTTAGCCAAGTGGTTTGGCTCACTTTCCTTGTTGCCTTGGTCATAGAATCCTAGAGTGGGAAGAGACCTCCTGGGCCATCATCCAGTCCAACCCCATTCTGCCAAGAAGCAGGAATATTGCATTCAAAGCACCCCTGACAGATGGCCATCCAGCCTCTGTTTCAAAGCTTCCAAAGAAGGAGCCTCCACCACCTTCTGGGGCAGAGAGTTCCACTGCTGAACGGCTCTCACAGTCAGGAAGTTCTTCCTCGTGTTCAGGTGGAATCTCCTCTCTTGTACTTTGGTCCTTACATCACTTATTACTTAAGAGATGAACTCTAACAATGTTCATTTATTATATACCAGGTTGGGTACCCAGAGATACCCAGGTTATTTGAAAAAGACATTATTCCTTTGGGATGTTAGGCAATATCACTTAGGTAATTGGTAACACTGTTTATTAGAAAGAAGCAAGTCTTTGCACTTTTTAATGAATGCTGTCATTAGAAAATACATAAGGAGGTGGGTGAACTACAATTCCCAAAGTTGCAGGGCAACTCTCCCCAAACTCTGTCAATATCCACAGTTGGCCATGTTGGATGTGTGTGCCAAATTTGGTCCGGATCCGTCATCGGCTGGATTCAGTGTCTCTGGATAAAGGTGAACTACAACTTCCATATTCCAAGGTCAATTACAACAATGTCCATTCAGTGATGCCCGGGTTATTTGAAAAAGGCATTGTTTGTTTTTGAGAGTTAGGTCATGTCTTCGTCATTGGCTGGGTTCAGTGTTCTCCGAGTACAAATGAACTACAACTCCCATATGCCAAGGTCAGTCACCCCCAAACCCTTGGGCACATGCTCCCTGCACCGCCCCCCTTTCCCTGCAAACTTGCCAACACCGGGAAAGGGACATTCTCCCGCATTGGCAAACGCACGGGGGGAGAGGGCTTGTGCCGAGCGCACTTCCAGCATCGGCCCTCTTCCTCCGCATGCAAGCGGGTGGGGAAGAGTGCCGGTGGAGGGCGCGCACTCCCTCCACCAGCAAATGCAAATGCTCAGGGAACAAGGCCACCACTGGGGTGCTTCATGGACGCACTGTGCGACTGTGGGTCTCTCCCGGAGGCTGGGCTTGCACCCCTCTGCGGGCCAGCAAGGAGTCCCTCTTCTCAGCTGTGCCTCCAAGCAGTGGGAGAGAGTCCAGTGATGTGGATGTAGAGCCGAAGCGACTGGAGGTACTGCAAATCCCATCACCTGTTCCACATCCTCCCCCAAACCCCTCAAGTATTTTGTGGAGCTCAGAATGCTCTTTGATGGCTAGTGAACTATAAATCCAGACAACTGCAACTCCCAAATGTCAGGTTCTGTTTTCCCCAAACTCCACCAGTGTTTAGATTTGGGCATATTGAGTATTTGTGCCAAGTTTGGTCCAGATCCACAGTCGTTTGGGTTCAAGGTGCTCTCCAGATGTAGGTGGAGGGGTCTTTTCCTAACCCCCTCCAGTATTTCCTCGTCGTCATGGGGGTTCTGTGTGCCAAGTTTGCTCCAGGTCGGTAATTCGTGGGAGGTCTCAGTGGTCTGTGGAAGTCAGAGCTGAATCAGTTGAAGGTACTGGCAATCCCATTCTCAGCTGTCCATACTCCCCAAACATATTGTTTTTGTGATTAATCACTATGCTTTAAGTATGTTCAATTTGCAACAATGAAAATGCGTCCTGCATAACCGATATTTACATTATGATTCAGAACAGTAGCAGTTATGAAGTTTGTTGTTGTTTATTCATTCAGTCGCTTCCGACTCTTCGTGACCTCATGGACCAGCCCACGCCAGAGCTCCCTGTCGGCAGTCACCACCCCCAGGGTCTCCTTCAGAGTCAAGCCAGTCCCTTCAAGGATGCCATCCATCCGCCTCGCCCTTGGTCGGCCCCTCTTCCTTTTTCCTTCCATTTCCCCCAGCATGGCCGATGGTAATTTTGTCACCGCCAATTGTGTTTAAGTGCAGGCCAAGGTCTTGAGGCACTGCACCCAGTGTGCTGATCACCACTGGGACCACCTTTACTGGTTTGTGCCAGGGTCTTTGCAGTTCGATCTTCAAATCCTCATATTGTGTCAGCTTTTCCAGTTGTTTCTCTTCAATCCGGTTGTCGCCTGGGATGGCAACATCGACAATCCATACTTTGTTTTTTAACACGATCGTGAGGTCAGGGGTATTGTGCTCCAAAACTCTGTCTGAATCCGGAAGTCCCAGAGTACCTTGATGTGTCCATGCTCTGTAACTTTTTCCGGCTTGTGAGCTTGTTATCGAGCTCTTTTGGAGGGGCGGGACGAGCGCTCACAATGGGGAGAGGATGGGTTTAGGCCGGCCAGCTGATGGAATGTGATTTCTTTGTTTGGGGCTGGCTAGGTGTGACTGCAGTAATCAAAGGTTTTCCTGTTTGGAATGGTTTTGGGGGAAGAGAATATTTGGCCAGACAGTGGACCCCAAGGGAATCAACACGGCCCGGATAATGTTTCAACCAATTCTTTTGTCCAAGTTTCTGTTGACCTTCTCCTCAGACTAGTCTGCTCTGAAGGCGAGAGGAAAAGGATCAACAGCTTTTGTCTCATGCCGATGAATTAATCAGGAAGGATTTCGGGGGGGGGGGGGACAGAGGATTTCCCCCCGGGCATCACAGTAATCTTCAGGTCACTCTTTTGTGGGGCAAGGGTCAGCAGGAAAGGCGGGAAAGGGGAACACAGTACATTTCATACAACATTTTTGGTTATTTTTCATATGGCAAACCCCATCCCCATCCCAGGAATTTTATTATAATATTTGATCTTTATTTTAGAGGCAAATGGGAGACTTCATAGTCCTTGGGTGGAGATGCGCGGGAGCGGAGGCTGCTTCCAATTCAGGGCAAGCATTTCCAGAAAGTTTGTGTCCAGGATGGTGGCAAACAGTTCAGTTTATGAAGCATAAAGTCAGTAAGGGAAGGCAGAAGTCCCAAGATCTAGCCATTTCCCAAAAAGCCTTGTGGGGTCCTTGTTGTTGTCAGTGTCTTGGCAATGTGGCCAAGACTTAACCCTTGTTGTGTAGTCTGGTGCCCTTGCCCTTAATTATGAGGGGGGTGGGGGGTGGTGCCTGATATCAAGCTCACCAGTTCTTTGTTGCGGGCAATGGCATTTGTCGGAACCCAGAAGCCTTAAAGAGCCAGACTCGGGAGTCTGTCCAAAAGAAACAGTTTAATGAATCAAACAAAAGGACTCAGAGACACTTACTTCAGTGCCTCTGGACAAAACTCAAAAGCAGCTTTGTTTCTTTTTTTTTGTTTTTTTTTATTTTTTTTTTTATAGATTTTTAGTGTGCATTTTAATTATTACAGTAATACGGATTAAAACAGTTTTTCCCAGGAATGTCCAAGGAGAGAGAAGCCTTCTGTTCGGCTAACGTTTTCGCGATGTTGCTCGGGAGTGCGTGATAGTTTGAGTGATGATGACAAAGGTACTGGAAGGCTTCCTCACGATGCAACACACGACGGGGCTTGGAACCACTCACTGTGCAGTTTCACTTGCGTCTGTAGTGAAAGCGTTCCGGTAAAAAACAAATTCAAGTGAAGTAGAGTGGGACGCGGGGTGGGCTCACAACAGGCAGTCCTTAGGCCCGGGCACCGGAACCGGGTGTTGGGGTGCGCCGCGAGGTTGGTGTACGGTGGTGTGGTGTACGTGTATATCGACTGGCGACGCATGGGCCCCCCGCAAACGACTCCCTTGGCCTGCCAACTGCACTCAGCCGGAGAGGTGACAGCAGCTTCATGCCAAGTTGTCACTTAATTGGAAGAAAGGAAGAAACTGGTGAAATGTGCTCCAGCAGGTAGCTCAATAATAAGACTGCACTCAGCCTTTCTTTGCTTTCCCTTCTCCCTACATTGTGACATTCCCCTAATAAAGCACTTGAAACTTGCAACATTTAATCTTTCCGCTTGATACTTTTGTATCTTTCCTGCCTCAGACTAATTCAACATTAAAATAACCCTTTTCCCAGGCTCCAGAGGGCCGTGGGCCTGCGGGGAGGTGCCTCCAGGCACCCCCCGGACCAAGGATCTGTGTTCGCCCAATTCGCGGATACTGAAACCGCCATTTTGGACCCCAGTAACCACTAAAACAGTAATATGGCGGATCGGCGCCGTTCTAATTTTGTATTTTTCTGCCATTAATTCTAAGACTAACTGCTATCTTGCTTTCCTCATTTTTGGGCCCCTGCGCTCGGGGAATAATCGTTTTGTTTAAAGTATTATTATTAGACAGCAAACAGCTGATTGCCAAAACTCTGCTGGCTCGGTGAAAGCAGCCTGTTATTTCCTTGCTACCACTCATTCCTACTCGTGCCCTGCCATCAGGGGCTTGTTGTGGGCACCCACAGGAGGACCCGGAGAAGCAGCCAGGCCGGCCCCCGGCCCCAGCGCGGAAGATCTAGTTCGCCAAGGGCCGAACTATGGATTCTGTTGCTTCCTGACCCAGCGCACATAACTGGGTTCCTGTTTCCTCTTTGTGAATTCTCTGACTTGTGCACTGGACTATGGACTCTGCTACCACCCAACCCAGCGCCCATCACTGGACTTCTGCCTTCTCTTATTGACTCTCTGCATCATGAACTTCTTCCACATCCCTGGCCACGAACTTCCTTCTGGTGCTTGCCTTGAGAAGCAAGCAGCCTCCGTTTCCACGCACCTTTGCCAAAGGACTATGAGATCTCCAGTTTGCATTATAATAAAGATCCAATATTGTAATAAACCATTGCTGGGGATGGGGAGGGGATTGCCTTATGAAATGTATGAGATATATGAAATGTATGTAATAGAATGAAATGTACTCTGGTTCCCCTTCCCTGCTTTTCCTCCCTGACCCTTTGCCCCCAGAAGGAATGTGACCTGGGATTACTGCTAAGAGGAAATCCTTTGTCCTCTCGAAACTGTTCATATCTACATCTGCATGGGCCGCATGATTGATCCTTCCTCAAACTGGCTTTCAGAGCAGACAGCCTAGGGCGGGAAGGGTCAACAGAAACTTAGGAAAAAAGATTGATTAACTCAATTTTTGGTATTTGTTGATCCCCCTCTTTTCACGAGGTCCCGAGGTCCGAATACCATTGAAAAGGCTCCCTTTCACACTTCCTTCCAAATCCCATCATCAGATCAGGAAACCCATTGTTCCCCTACTTGTCCCCCCCCCCGCCGTGAGGACAAAGCCTCACATTCCAGCTGGTGAATGCCCCCTGGGGCTCACCACTTCCTCTGGGCTGTCAAACTCCGTCCCGCCTCCTGGCTGCTGATTGGACCATCTTCGGAGGCGCTAGGAGGGCGCCGATTGGCCCCCTAGAGGCAGCAGAGCTCACTGATTGGACAGGAGGCGGGACGCACAGCCAAGCCTCCTCCCAGCTGTTCCGCGGCCAGCCAATCAGGGCGAAGCCGGCCGGCAGAGGGCGGGCGGGATTTTTGAAAATGTTTCCTTTGTCTGTACACTATAAAAATGCCTGTAAAACTCAGTAAAACCATGCTTGCAGTGGAATGATTCCTGCAATGCATCTGATCTCAGCTGAATCACAATAAACGCCTCGGTCACTGAACCTCTTCAGCCTCCGGTGGGATTAATTCTTAATATTTTTCGTTCTTTGGATTGGCTTTCGCTGGCTGCTCACCGAGGTCAACGGACCCCTTTAGCGGTCTTCAGGGATCTCTCCCGCTGGGAGACCCTCCAAGAGGGCTCGATATCAGTGGTGTTCCTATTACTTTTACTATTAGGATGGCAAAGGCTGGGATCCTCTCCTGAAATGCTGTCAGTGTGTGTGTGGTCCAATGCCCGCCCATTCCTGAGAGAGAGAGAGAGAGGCATGCCATAGAGCAGGGGCCCTCAAACTAAGGCCCGGGGGCCGGATGCGGCCCTCCAAGGTCATTTACCCGGCCCTCGCTCAGGGTCAACCTAAGTCTGAAAAGACTTGAAAGCACACAACAACAACAACAACAACACTCCATGAGCCAAAAGCAAGCCCACACTTCCCATTGAGATACTAATAAGTTTACACTTGTTTAAATTGTTCTTCATTTTAATTATTGTGTTGTTTTCAAGTGTCTTTTGCACTGCAAATAAGAGATGTGCAGAGTGTGCATAGGGATTCATTCATTCATGGTTGGTTTTCCACAGTCTGAGGGGCTGCGGCCAGCTGGCCCTCTGCTCACAAAGTGTGTGTGCCCTTCTGCCACAGAACAGGGACACGCCCACGCCCACGGCCCCCTCCGCTCTCCTTCCCGCCTCCATTCAGCCCCCCCCCCCGCCTTGGCCGCCTCCTCCGGAAGTGAGCAGCTCAGAGGAAGCCCCTCTAGGAGCGCAGTCCTCTCCTCTCCCGGGACTTCCGCCCGGGCCAGACATGGCGGACGCAGGCAGGCAGGCAGGCGCCCAAAGAGGGGCGGGGCTTGGCGGTATAGGCGGAGGGAACGGGAGCCCGAGAGGGACAAAGCGAGAGAGAGAGCGAGAGAGAGAGAGCGAGAGAGAGGACGCCAGGCGAGTCTTTCCGTGGTTGGTTCATCGCATCGCTGTGTTCCTATTTCATGACCGTCTGTTTGTGAATCGTGGAGAGAGAGAGAGAGAGAGAGAGGGAGGGAGGGGGGGGGCTGCGGGGATCCTTCTCTCCGCGCGTGGTTGTGGGGATCTTCCCTCGCCCGCGTTTCCGAGTGTGTTTTGGAGTATTCCTGCCAAGAGGCGGAGGGAGGGAGGGGGGGGGGCGGGGGGCTCTTCTGGACTCGTGTGCTGAGCCCTGAGAGGGAGGGAGGGAGGGGGGGAGAGGGGGCGCGTGCGAGGCCGGCCGGGAAGGGCGGAGGGGGAGGCGGTCCCGGGGCCGGATGCCAGGCGGGCGGGCGGGGGGGGGGGGGGCGGCCGAGGGGACGGGCCCCCCCCCCCCCCCCCCCCCCCCTGTATGTCTAAAGTAATTAAAATACAGTAGGTTGACCTCCCTCTTATACTTATACTTGTATACCGCCGCCGTTTCTCAGCCTGGGCCAGGGTCTCTCCACCCCCCCCGCCCCCTCCTGCGGGCCCCTCGGCTGGCGGAACCCCCCCCCCCCCCCCCCCCCCCCCCCCCCGTGGTGCCCCCCCCCCCCCACAGCATGATTGATTCTTGTTGTGACTTCACCCCTGTAATTCTGCCCATGACATGGACCGTCATGTGAATATCTGATAGGCAGGGTGTATTTTCACTCACGGATCCCAGTTTGGCACAAATGCCCATTATTGTTGTTATTATTAGTATTATCCCCCCCCTCCCCCCCCCCCCCCCCCCCCCCCCCCCCCCCCCCGCTAGCATCTCCTGAAGGGCTCACACAAGCCAAGGCCTCAACACACAACATAACAATACAACACCTGAAGCAAATTAAAAAACAGTTAAGGCAATATTAAACAACAAACAATACACCAGGACACAATGAAACTGGGCGGGGCCAGAGCGATGGGTGCAGGGTGAAAAGTGCTGGCGTGACAGGTGAGATGTCAGGATTCCGGGGCGAGTGCAGAGTGCAGCCGTCTTAATTCCGATAAAGTGCTTCTGGGAATGTTGGAGTTTTCCTATTCTGGGAAGGCACATCGGAACAGCCAGGTCTTCAAGTTCTTCCTAAAGACTGCCAATGTAGGGGCCTGTCTAATGTCTTTGGGGAGGGCGTTCCAGAGTCGGGGGGCCACCACAGAAAAGGCCCTGTCTCGCATCCCCACCAGACGCGCCTGCGACACTGGCGGAATCACGAGCAGGGCCTCTCCGGATGAACGAAGTGAGCGTGTGGGTTCATAAACGGAGATGCGGTCACGCAGGTAGGGTGGTCCCAAATTTGAAACCACCAAGCATATGCCCAAATTTGAATACTGGTAGGGTTGGGGGGGGTTGATTTTGTCATTTGGGAGTTGTAGTTGCTGGGATTTAGGGTTCATTTAAATTAAGAGAGCATTCTGAACTCCACCAACGAGGCAAATGACCCAGACCTGGCACACAGGACTCCCATGCCCAACAGAAAACGTGGGAGCTGTAGTTCACCCACATCCAGAGAGCACTGTGGACTCAAACAATGATGGATGAGGACCAAACTTGGCGTGAATACTCAATATGCCCAACTAGGAACACAGATGGAGCTTGAGGGAATAGACCTTGGCATTTGGGAGTTGTAGTTGCTGGGATTTATAGTTTGCCTGCAATCAAAGAGCATTCTGAAGCCCACCAATGATACAGTTGGGCCAAACTTCCCACCCAGAACCCCCACGACCACCAGAATATACTGTGTTTTCAGATGGTCTTTGGCGACCCCTCTGACACCCCCTCGTGACCCCCCCCAAGGGTCCTGACCCCCAGGTTGAGAAACACTGCCGTACACACTTCAGGGCCAAAGGGCCTCCCTCTTCCCTGGCCGCTATCTTAAGGTACCCCACCGTTCTCTGATGTCCCCCCAATAAATATAAACCGCGTTGAGTGGAGTGCTGCCGCCGCCGCCGTGCAAAGCGAAGGAAGGAATGCGCCAGGCGAGGGCGGTCCGGGTCTCTTGGCCGCCTTTTCTGTTCCTTCAAAGAAGAGGCGAGAAAGGAGAGAGACTTGGCGTAACGTAACACAGTCGCTCTTGGTTGATTGGCTTCCTTTGTATAACAAAAGCGTGGTGGTTCCAGAAGTCTGTATGCTTGGTGGTTGCAAATGAGGTCAATGTTCTTTCATTAAGACATTACAAAACAACGCAATGGAGGGGACGTGGTTTTAAAAAGGGAATTTTCAGGGATCCTCCCAATGCCCTTACGTCCTGATTCACTTCCGTATTGGCCTAGTTCTGCAGGAGGCCTCCGTTCACAGAAAATGCGGGTTGTTTGAGAAATCAGCGCTCCAAAGAAGAAGGGACTCTCCAAGGAGAACAGCCCAGCCGGACAAAGCCAGCTAGCACGTGGCTAGTCAGAACCCCCCAGTCGCTCTGGAGCCATGTTTGCCAGAGACTAGCAGAGAAGATACAGTCACGGTCAGAGAACTATAGTTGTGCCATTGTTAGGTCTCACGTGTGCTATAATGTCAATCAAAATCATAAACAACAAATGAACATATACAGTGGTATAGCTGGCTTAGACCAATGAAATGATTTGTCTTTGGGAACCAATGAAAATGCATATTCCATTTACTATGGAATGGGGGGGGGGCCTCCTCCTGCGGCCAATGGGCTCCACCAGCACTCCCTCGTCATTGGTTGCTAGGGAGACGCCCTTGAGAACAGATAGAAGAGCTTTGTTGTTGTTGTGCTTTGCAAAACGAAATTGAATGCTTTCTCCAGCACACACCACAAAACAACACACCCACCCCTCCACGCTCCCACCACCACTGCACAGCCCCCAATGCCACATGAGTGCAAAGCCACAGGGTTCAGCATGGCTCTAGGATAAAAGCGGTCTCTCTTTAGGGAGGTAGTCCAGAGGTGGGGGGCAACCACAGAGAAGGCCCTGTCTCGTTCCCACCAGCCGTGCTTGAAATGGGGGTGGGACTGAGAGCAGGGCCTCCTCCACTGACCGCACTGCCCGAGCTGGTTTGTAAGAGAAGATGCGATTGGTCAAGTAGCCTGGACCCGAGCCATTTAGGGCTTTAAAGGCAATGACAAACACTTTATATTTAGCCAGGAAGCAGACCGGCAGCCGGTGGAGCTGCCATAACATAGGAGTGGATCTCTCCCTTTACGGGGCTCCAGTTAGTAATCTGGCTGCCGATCTCTGGACCAAGTGAAGCTTCCGAACTGTCTTCAAAGGCAGCCCCACGTAGAGAGTGTTGCAGTAGTCTAAGCGGGATGTGACTAAGGTGTGGACTACTATGGCCAGATCTGTGTCTCAAGGTATGGGCACAGCTGGCACACAAGTTTTAATTGTGCGAAGACGCTCCTGGCCACCGCCGATACCTGGCGTTCCAGGGTCAGCAATGAGTCCAGGACCACCCCCAGAAGGCAGGCCTGCGTCTTCAGGGGGAGTGTGACCCGTCCAACACAGGCTGTAATCCCACACCCCGATCCACCTTCCAACTGACCAGGAGTACCTCTGTCTTGTCTGGATTTCATAGAATCCTAGAATCCAAGAGTTGGAAGAGACCTCCTGGGCCTTCATCCAGTCCAACCCCATTCTGCCAAGAAGCAGGAATATTGCATTCAAAGCACCCCTGACAGATGGCCATACAGCCTCTGCTTAAAAGCTTCCAAAGAAGGAGCCTCCACCACACTCCGGGGCAGAGAGTTCCACTGCTGAACGGCTCTCACAGTCAGGAAGTTCTTCCTCGTGTTCAGACGGAATCTCCTCTCTTGTAGTTTGAAGCCATTGTTCCCTTGCGTCCTAGTCTCCAGGGAAGCAGAAAACAAGCTTGCTCCCTCCTCCTCCCTGTGGCTTCCTCTCACATATTTATACATGGCTATCATCATATCTCCTCTCAGCCTTCTCTTCTTCAGGCTAAACATGCCCAGCTCCTTAAGCCGCTCCTCATAGGGCTTGTTCTTTAGACCCTTGATCATTTTAGTCGCCCTCCTCTGGACACATTCCAGCTTGTCAATATCTCTCTTGAATTGTGGTGCCCAGAATTGGACACAATATTCCAGATGTGGTCTAATTTAAGTTCAACTTGTTAGCCCTCGACAGGCCTTTGAACTCTGATATTGTTGTTTTTAAATTGTTTTAAATTGTGTTAGATTTTAGCCTGTTCTTGTAAGCCGCTCCGAGCCCCAGGGGAGTGGAGGCATAGAAGTTCGAATAATAAATAAATAAATAAGTAAAGTCCTGATTCACTGATGACAGGGACCCGTTTAGGGGCAGAACTGCGTCCTTGGCACGAGGCGGAAAGGAGTAATAGAGTTGGGCGTCATCTGCATACATTTGGCACCGAACTCCAAAACCCCAGATGATCTCTCCCAGCGGTTTCAGGTAAATGTTAAACAGCATGGGGGACAGAACTGACCCCCGAGGGAGCCCACAGGCCAAGAAGGACTGGAGCCCCTGTGAAACACTGGCCCCGAGCCCCATCCTGACGAGGTTCCCATGGTCAAGGGTCCTGAAAGCCGTGGAGAGGTCCAGGAGAAGCAGCAGGGACACTCTCCCCCGTCTGGTCCTCTTGGTAGACCACCCAACAAGGCGGCCAATGCCGTTTCTGTCCCATGGCCAGGCCTGAAACCAGGCGGAGATGGATCCAGATAATCAGGTTCATCCAAGAACCTTTGGAGTTGTGAGGCCACCGCCTCCTCCAGAACCTTTCCCAGAAGGACTGGCCTGTAGTTGTTAAGTGCTGGTTTCTTCGGAAAGGTGTCTTGCCATTGCCTCCTTGACGACGCTTGGCATTACTCCTTGGGTTGAGGCATTTGCCAGCACCTTCGCCCTCTCTGCCAGCCCCCCCCCCCCCCCCCCCCGGGGCCCATTTTGTAAGCCAGGAATGGCAAGAAGGGTGTGGAGAACACGTGGTCGCCTCCTTTTCTCCCAAGACCTTGTCCACGTCCTCGGGCTGCACAAGTTGAAACAAGGACAAGCAGAGGCCTCAGTTGCACCCACAGACACTGTGTTAACACTGACGCCTAAATCAGAATGAATCTGAGTGAATTGTCGAAGGCTTTCATGGCCGGGATCACTGGGTTGTTGTAGGTTTTTTCGGGCTATATGGCCATGTTCTAGAGGCATTCTCTCCTGACGTTTCACCTGCATCTATGGCAAGCATCCTCAGAGGTAATGAGGTCTGTTGGAACTAGAAAAATGAGTTTATATATCTGTGGAATGACCAGGGTGGGACAAAGAACTCTTGTCTGTTGGAGGGAGGTGTGAATGTTTCAACCAACCACCTTGATTAGCATTTGATGGCCTGGCAGTTTTTTGGTGTGCCTTGTTAGTGCCTGGGCGAATCTTTTGTTGAGAGGTGATTAGCTGTCCCTGATTGTTTCCTCTCTGTTGTTTTGCTGTTGTAATTATAGTTTTTTATTGCTGTGGAATAGGCTTTTAAATAAGCTCTAGAGACCGTGCTCGGTCAGATTGGCTGCTATTTCTGCGCCTGTGCTGCTCTAGTTTCTGTCTCACTTGCTTCATGGCCGCCGGCTCCTTGTTGAACCATGGAGCTGACTTGGCTTTGTTTTGCGAAAGAAAATGCTGGGGAGCGATGGTGTCCTCTGCCCCGGCCACCTCCTTATTGCAGAGGTCAGTCAGAACTTGGACAGAATCACCTGACGGCGAGGCAGGAAAGTTCCCAAGAGCCATCAGGCATCCATCCGGATCCATCAGCCTCCTGGGTCGGGCCTTCCTAATTGGTTCTCCACCCCGGCAGAGGTTTCGCGCCCCAGTGAGTCTAAACCTGGAATGTTGTATCCAGAGGAAGGCGACTCAAATGATCAGGGGTCTGGAGAACAAGCCCTATGAAGAACGGTTTAAAGAGCTGGGCATGTTTAGCCTGAAGAAGAGAAGGCGGAGAGGAGACATGATGAGGGCCATGTATAAATATGTGAGAGGAAGACACAGGGAGGAGGAGGAGGGAGCAAGCTTCCTTTCGGCTTCCCTGGAGACTAGGACGCAATGGGACAATGGCTTCAAACCACAAGAGAGGAGATTCCATCTGAACATGAGGAAGAACTTCCTGACTGTGAGAGTCGTTCAGGAGTGGAACTCTCTGCCCCGGAGGGAGTGTGGTGGAGGCTCCTTCCTTGGAGGCTTTAAAATAGAGGCCGGATGGCCATCTGTCGGGGATGCTTTGAATGCAATTTTCCTGCTTCTTGGTAGAATGGGGTTGGACTGGATGATGGCCCATGAGGTCTCTTCCAACTCTCGGATTCTATGAAAGGTGGCCTTTAGATTTGCATAAATGTAGTTATAATGAAATGAGCATTTCTAAGGAATGAATGTGTGAATGCATGGAGAGGAGCAGAAGAAACAGGCTTGGAGAATGCAACATGGAGTTCACGCAAAGCATGATGTGGGTCGGATTTGGCAGACGAAGAGAGGAAGCAGTAAGGCAAAGCTGAACAACAATGGACAATGAGGTGTGCAGCCAAGCATGTAAGGCATGTGTAAGGAGGTGCCTCATAAGTCTTACTTAGGCGATCACTCGTTCTCCGAGTAGGATTGTCTTCTGGCGGTGGGTCAGGAGGTGGCTGTGGAGCCCTATTCTTGCTCTGCATCTTCTCCCGCAGTGAGGGCATCGGTTTCCAGGTGGAAGGCGGTCTCGGTCGGGGTTGGCTTGACGTGCCTTCCTCTTGGCACGTTTCTCTCTTTCACCCTCCAATCGTGCCTCCTCAAATTCGACAGCACTGCTGGACACAGCTGACCTCCTGCTGGAGCACTCAAGGCTTCTCAGTTCCCAGTGTCTATGCCAGAGTTTTTAAGGTTGGCTTTGGGCCCATCTTTCAATCTCTTTTCCTGTCCTGCAACATTCCGTTTTCCATTCATGAGTTCGGAGTAGAGCAACTGCTTTGGGAGGAGACGGTAGTCGGGCATCTGGACAACATGGCGGTCCAGCAGTTGATGGTGGAGGACCATCACTTCAATGCTGGTGGTCTTTGCTTCCTCCAGCACGCTGACATTTCCCTGCCTGTCTTCCCAAGAGATTTGCAGGATTTTCCGGAGGCAGCGCTGATGGAATTGTTCCAGGAGTTACGTATGATGTCTGTAGACAGTCCACATCTTGCAGGCGTATATTAGGGTTGGGAGGACAATAGCTTTATACATAAGCACCTTGGTCTCCCTACGGATGTCCCGGTCCTCAAACACTCTCTGCTTCATTCGGAAAAATGCTGCACTCGCAGAGCTCAGGCGGTGTTGTATTTCAGAGTCAATGTTGACTTTGGTGGAGAGGTGGCTGCCAAGGGAGCAGAAATGGTCAACATTTTCTAATGTTACACCTTTAAGCTGCATTTCTGGCATTGGAGAGGGGTTGGCTGGTGAGTGCTGGAAGAGCACTTTGGTTTTCTCGATGTTCAGTGACAGGCCGAACTTCTCGTGTGCTTCTGCGAAAGTGTTCAGAGTGGTGCAATTGATTTTTTGGTCCTTCAGGAGTGTGGTTCCACCTGATGAGCGTAGAGGCTGTATGCCATGGTTTCTTGGTCCATAGATGACCTTTGTGGCTTTGAAGAATCCCTGAGCATCATGGGTATCTGCCAGGTGTTGGATTTCTTCGGCCTTCTTTGTCCACCAGATGTTCTTGAGTTCTCTTGTCCTTCTTTGGACCTCAGCTTTTGTGCTGGCGTAGATCTTTTTCTTAGCAGCACAGTTGATCTCTCTCTGCCATGTTTGGAAGGCTTTCCTTTTCTTGTCAATTAGCTGTTGGATCTCGTTGCATGCTTCCTGATCCGCAGCAACGGGAACGTCCACACCTTCTCAGAGAAAACTGATCACCTTCGCTGGGGAAGGCCTGTGTGTGTGGGAATATGTGTGAATGTTTGGAATGCGTGCACGAGAGCTGTCTCTTGATGTGATTCTGATGAGATTCTATGGTGATGGTATTTCAATAAATGTAACATGAATAGTGTTAAAACCAAATTTGGTCTCTGAAGTGTCTCATTGATCTAAGCTGCCTTACTATTCCTTGAGAACTCTGCTCAAAAGAACAGGAACCTTTTGCTGTTCATAACACATTTAGCACATCACTGAAGTACATTATCCAGAATGAATCATTGACTCTGTTCTGTTACTTAAACCACATTTGGGATTGACCCAATAAATTCAGTGTGACCCTCTAAGATAGGAAATGGTTCCCCTTCCTTCCTTCCTTCCTTCCTTCCTTCCTTCCTTCCTTCCTTCCTTCCTTCCTTCCGCCCTTATTTGGCCTTCCTTATCTCACTCTCCCTGTCCTTTTCTTCCAGCCATTTTATTATCATCATCCTTTCCTTTCTTCTGTCCTTACTACATACTTCCTTAAACCCACCGGTCTTTCTCTCCCTCATTCCTTCCTAACTTCTTTTCTTCCTTCCTTCGCTGTCATGTGTTTATTGAATCATCTTTGAACCTTTGTCTCTTATGTTCCCTCAGAACATCTGAATTTGTTCCTTGTTCATGAATCTCTGGTGGCCTTTTAAGGCTTCTGTGTACATCCTTGAGACACTTCATGCCTCTATTTCTTGGTATTTCCATTGTCAACATGATCCACGAGGGGAAAAGAGGATAATGTTGGAGGCAAAGGAGGTTTGGGGCTTCGTGTTTAACCTTTTACTTCTTCTTTCTTGACCAGGAACATGAATCATAGATGGAGGTTCGGTGGTGTCACCCCTTCCATGATGAGAAACAAACCCACTTCCAGCAGGAATTGAAGAATTTGGAAACTAAAGTGTAGTAAGAACACAAATCAAATAGGAAAAAGAAATCATTTCAAGGCGAATTCTTAAACTCAATTTAGATCAGAAAGGGGAAAACAAGAGTCAAGTGTCCATATTGCAATTATATGAACATAACACTACTGACATGGAAGAGAAAGCATATAAATGTATTGAATGTGGAAAGAGCTTTAAACAGCAAGGAAATCTGAAGACACATCAAAGGTCTCACACTGGGGAGAAACCCTATAAATGCCTGGAGTGTGGACAGAGCTTCACTCATAGTGGAAATCTACGTACACATCAAAGGACTCACACTGGGGAGAAACCCTATACATGCCTGGAGTGTGGAAAGAGCTTCACTCATAGTGGAAATCTACAATTACATCAAAGAACTCACACTGGGGAGAAACCCTATACATGCCTGGAGTGTGGACAGAGCTTCACTCGGAGTGGAACTCTACATTCACATCAAAGAACTCACACTGGGGAGAAACCCTATAAATGCCTGGAGTGTGGACAGAGCTTCACTCGGAGTGGGCATCTGCGTTCACATCAAAGAACTCACACTGGGGAGAAACCCTATACATGCCTGGAGTGTGGAAAGAGCTTCACTGAGAGTGGAGACCTACGCTCACATCAAAGGACTCATACTGGGGAAAAGCGCTATACATGCTTGGAGTGTGGACAGACCTTCACTCATAGTGGAAATCTACATTTACATCGAAGAACTCACACTGGGGAGAAACCCTATACATGCTTGGAGTGTGGACAGAGCTTCACTCAGAAAGGACATCTACGCTCACATGAAAGGACTCACACTGGGGAGAAACCCTATACATGTCTGGAGTGCGGAAGGAGCTTCACTCAGCGTGGAGACCTACGCTCACATCAAAGGACTCACACTGGGGAAAAACCCTATACATGCTTGGAGTGTGGACAGAGCTTCACTCAGAGTGGACATCTACATTTACATCATAGGACTCACACGGGGGAGAAACCATATACATGCCTGGAGTGTGGAAAGAGCTTCGTTCAGAGTGGAGAGCTACTCTCACATCAAAGAACTCACACTGGAGAAAAACCATATAAATGCCTGGAGTGTGGACAGGGCTTCACTCATAGTGGAAATCTACATTCACATCAAAGAACACACACTGGGGAGAAACCCTATACATGCTTGGAATGTGGACAGAGCTTCACTCGGAGTGAAAATCTACGCTCACATCATAGGACTCACACTGGGGAGAAACCCTATCCATGCCTGGAGTGCGGAAAGAGTTTCACTCAGAGTGGAGACTTACGCGCACATCAAAGGACTCACACTGGGGAAAAACCCTATAAATGCCTGGAGTGTGGACAGAGCTTCACTCAGAGTGGAAGTCTAAGATCACATCAAAAGACTCACATGGGGGAGAAACCCTATAAATGCTCAGAGTGTGGACAGAGCTTCACTCAGAGGGCAAATCTACGTTCACATCAGAAGACTCACGCTGGGGAAGAACTCGATACATGCCTGGAAGGAAATTGTTAAGTTTACATTTACAATGACACCAGAGTTTTGTTTCTTAATAATGCTGAGTGATAATCTAGGAAGAAAATGTGTAACATTATTCAAATATATGATAACATTATGTAGAAATTTTTTTGAAAAAATAATCTGTTCCTGGTTTGAACGTTTCATTTCCTGTTTAATTGTGCAGCTCTTAGTGTGACTGTAGTTCTTATACTCCAGAAACATTTTTTGTGGCCGCCACAAACTGTGTTGAATTGGTTGAGATTCCATGAGATCTTCATTGAAAACTGTAGCAAAATGTGCTGCAGGATGTCCAGATAAAAACCATTTAAAAAGTTTTATAGAGTTAAATGTGTTAAAGGTATTGTCGAAGGCTTTCATGGTCAGAATCACTGGGTTGTTGTAGGTTGTTCGGGCTATATGGCCATGTTCTAGAAGCATTCTCTCCTGACGTTTTGCCTGCATCTATCTCAGGTACCCTCAGAGGCCGTGAGGATGCTTGCCATAAATGCAGGCGAAACGTCAGGAGAAAAATGCTTCTAGAACATGGCCATATAACCCGAACAACCTAAAACAACACAGTAAAATGTTTTATATAGTGTAATTGCAGCGATAATCCTTTATCATCAGAGATGGAACAAAATAGTTATTCCAACTCGAGGAAACTGACAGATAAAGATCTGCAGACTGGCACGGAGGGAGGAAGTGACTCTGCCGATTAAGGAGAAATCCCTGATCACTTTCAGGAAACACTGGAACCTTTTAATTGCTTTTTCATGGCAACACTAGGGTCTTGGGTCCAGTACAAGATTGGAATAGTGGAACAGTGATACCAAAGGCAGGCGTGTGTTTGTATAGATTGTCTAAATGGAGTGGAATGAAAAGGTGTAAAGACCATGGAGAGAGGTCTGTAGAACATCTGCTTGTTGGTTTCATAGTTTGTGTGTGTCTTTGGCTATGTAGGTGTGTATTTTGTTGGTGTGTTTGTTTCCTTTTTCGTTTTGTACTTTGTTGTAGTAGCTAGTTCGTTAACTGCCTAGTTTAACGTTATGCATTATAAAATTTCTGCTTCTTTTTGTGATACTGCTTTTTCCCTTTAAAAAATAAAAAGGTCAGAAATTTAGAAAGTTTAAGATGTCTGAGACGGGAGTGGCCGATACACTTGGTCCTAGACCATTACGGGGTTTGAGGCCTAATTGACGGTGCCGCGCAGCTCTGGAGCGGCTTGTTGTCCTTCCGTGGCGATTCTTACTCTTCTGCTTCGTGCCACGTCTACGCACGGTTTGGATCATCGTCTGTTGCTTCTCACATTCGTGTTTATTATTTCAATAAATCTTTAATCACCCTCTTTTGGATATGGTGAGTGATGTTATGTATTATCTGTCTTGTGTATAATGCGGCATTGAATTCTGCCAAGACGTGTGGAGTCCCCTCGGGGCGAGATGGAGCCAGATAGAAATCAGGTAAATAAATAAAGAAAAATAACTTGTCTTTGGTTTGCATTTCTATTTATCTTAATCCAGCATTTAAATACAATTGGCCCTTCATATTGTTTTGATTTTAGTTTTCATGGATATTACTGTTCATGACTTTGGAATCCATAATAAAATAGGGATTGTTTTCGAGTTTTGCGGTTTTATGCAAAATCACTCAAGGTTGTAAAAGAGCAAAAGGAAAGAAAATGTATTTAAAGGTTTGATACACAATATATATCGGTAAAATAAAGGTACTGTACTTTGTGTGTGCTAAATATGATCAACAGTATCTGGATTTCAGTAAGGCCTTCTTTGACAAGGTCCCCCACGACCTTCTGGCAAGGAAACTAGTCCAATGTGGGCGAGGCAAAACTACGGTGAGGTGGATCTGGAATTGGTTAAATGGACGAACGCAGAGGGTGATTCTCCCCAAGGCTTCCTCCTCTTCATCCCGGAAAGAAGTGACGAGCGGAGGGCCATCTGGAGGGTTTCCTCCTGGGCCGGTCCTGCTCAGGATCTTCATCAATGGGTTAGACGAAGGGTTAGAAGGCAGGATCGTCAGACGGGACCAAATGGGGAGGGAGAGCCATAACTCCAGAGGATAGGAGCAGGATTCAAAATGATCTTGACAGATTAGAGAGATGAAGGGCCAAAACTCACAAAATGAAGTTCAACAGTGACAAATGCAAGATACTCCACTTTGGCAGGAAAAACGAAATGCAAAGATACAGAATGGGGGACAATGAGGCCTGGCTCGAGAGCAGGACGTGTGAAAAAGATCTTGGAGTCCTCGTGGACAACAAGTTAAACATGAGCCAACAATGTCATGCGGTGGCAAAAATACCAATGGGATTTTGGCCTCAGGCATCAAGAGGAGTCTAGTGTCTAGATCCAGGGAAGTCATGCTCCCCATGCTCTATTCCGCCTTGGTCAGACCACACCTGGAATACTCTGACCAATTCTGGGCACTGCAATTGAAGGGAGATGTTGACAAGCTGGAATGTGTCCAGAGGAGGGAGAATCAAACGATCAAGAGTCTGGAGAACAAGCCCTATGAGGAGCGGCTTCAAGATGATGTTAGTCCCCTCCTCTGGACACATTCCAGCTCGTCAACATCTCCCTTCAACTGTGGTGCCCAGAACTGGACACTGTGTGATTCCAGGTGGTGTGGTCCAACCAAGGCGGAATAGAGCATGGGGAGCATGGCTTCCCTGGATCTAGGCACTAGGCTCCTCTTGATGCAGGCCAACATCCCATCGGTTGTTTTTTGCCACCGCATGACATTCCTGGCTCATGTTTAGCTTGTTGTCCACGAGGACTCAAAGAACTCTTTCACGTGGCAGAGGGAAGGGGCAGCTGCCTTCTTTACCACTCCACACCAGTAATAGTAGTAGTAATAATAATTTTATTATTTATTTATTTCGAACACTTTTACCCCGCCCTTCTCAACCCCTGGGGGGGGGGGGTGTTGATGCTACATCATAAAATAGAAAACAGCAATTATAACAGTTAAAAAACATAAACATTAAGACATAAAAAATTAAAACAGTATACTTACAGTCCATTGAGCTATTACCAGTCTGTTGGCTATTTAACTAGCCATATACTATTGAGTACTCCGCTTAACTTATCCAAATCCACTTCCAAGCCATAGTCAAACATTATCAATTGTCCTTTAACCTAATTCCCCCAAGGCCTGGTCCCACATCCACATTTTAACCCTCTTTCTAAAGGTAAGGAGGGATGATGATGATGATGATGATGACCTAATTTCCCCAAGAAGTGAATTCCACAGGTGGGGGGCCACCACCGAGAAGGCCCTGTCGCTCGTCCCCACCAAACGTGTTTGAAACCGAGACGGGGCCGAGAGCAGGGCCTCCCCAGAAGATCTTAAACTCCAAGGTGGGATGTAGAAGGAGATACGTTCAGACAGGTACGCTGGACCAGAGCCGTATAGGGTTTTATAGGTCAAGAGCAGCACTTTGAATTGTGCTCGGAATTGGATCGGCAGCCAGTGGAGCTGACACAACAGGGGGTGGTATGCTCCCTGCATGACGCTCCAGTGAGTAATCTAGCTGCCACCCGTTGGACTAATTGCAGTTTCCGAACAGTCTTCAAAGGCAACCCCACGTAGAGTGCGTTGCAGTAGTCTATTTGGGATGTGACCAGAGCGTGGACCACCGTGGCCAAGTCAGACTTCCCAAGGTATGGGTGCAGGTGGCCCACAAGATTTGGGGTTCCAGGCTCAGTGATGAGTCCAGGATCACACCCAAGCTGCGAACTTGCATTGTCTTCAGGGGGAGTGTGACCCCGTCCAGCACAGGCTGTAACCCTGTGCCCTGTTCGGCCTTGCGACTGACTCTATTTATACCCCGCCACCATCTCCCCAGCGGGGACTCGGGGCGGCTTACATGAGGCCAAACCCAAACAACAAATTACAGCAGAATAAAACCGAAAACGCAAATAAACAACAACATCATAATTGCATAAAACATATTTATTTATTTATTTAATTTACTTTGCTTCTATACGGCTGTATCTCAAGCCCGAAGGCGACTCACAGCGGTTCACAAACAGTAGAAACAGTAGAAACAGCAGTGGTTCCATACAACATATAACAATTGACTTAACACATTATCCATAAATTACCAATAAGCAATTACAATGCACAATTATTACAAAAAACAACCGCACCCAATCTTCTCATCATCCAAGCGTAGTCCAGGTTCGTCGTCCATTGTTCCATTCCTATGTTCCATTACCAGATTGCACTAAATTACTCAAACGCCTGCTCAAACATCCAGGTCTTCACCTTTTTGCGGAATACCATTAGAGATGGTGCTAGTCTAATGTCCGTAGGAAGGGCGTTCCACAGCCGAGGAGCCACCACCGAGAAGGCCCTATCTCTCGTCCCCGCCAGCCGAGCTTGAGAAGCAGGCGGGATCGAGAGCAGGGTCTCCCCGGAAGATCTCAAAGTCCTGGTGGGTTCATAGGCAGAGATGTGGTCAGATAGGTAGCTTGGGCCGGAACCGTTTAGGGCTTTAAAGGCCAACGCCAGCACTTTGAATTCAGCCCGGTAGCAGATCGGTAGCCAGTGGAGTTGGCGCAACAGGGGGGTTGTATGCTCCCTGCGCTCCGCTCCTGTTAAAATCATGGCTGCCGAGCGTTGGACTAGTTGGAGCTTCCGAGCTGTCTTCAAAGGCAACCCCACGTAGAGAGCGTTGCAGTAGTCTAAACGGGATGTAACCAGAGCATGGACTACCGTGGCCAAGTCAGACTTCCCAAGGTACGGGCGCAGCTGGCACACATTCAATTTCAATTTGTTTTATTTTATGAATAAAATTACAATAAACACAATCACAGTGACAATGGGCGGGCTACATGTAATGATTAAAAGAAAAACTAATTAAAACTGATTAAAAATGAGGTGAGATAAAGGGGAAGCAGGCTATTTGTGGAGGAGGGCTCATTAAAACGGGGGTTGTGGAATCAAGGGAGAGGGGCGTATACTCCAGTGTAAACACTGCATAGCAACACCTACCAGCATGTCTTATTTTCAGGGTATGGTTTATAACGTGCAAAAGCTTAGAAATCCTGCTACAGCTTATTTATTTATTTATTTACTTGCTTACTTTCTTTATTTCTACTCTTACTTTTCTCAGCCCTTAGGCGACTCAAAGCGGTTTACACAACAATGCAAAATATCACAGCTTATTTCATGAGTAAATCTTATTTTCGGGAAACACTGTAGACAAATATTTCCCTTCATCACCTTAAATTGTCTATCTCAGAAGACTTAAGAATCTTCGTCAGCTGATGTCATCATTCGTTGTCTTCCATTTTGTACAATTAGGGAGAGATGCTGCGTACCCTAATGGACCCTTTGCCAATCAATGGTAATGACTGAACAGTTACAATTATTAATGGAGGATTACTCAAAGCAGGCATTATTACTATTATTACTAGTACTATGTTTGGTTATACTCCACTTTATCTCTCCCAAAGGAGATGCAAAGTGGGTTAGAATTAAAAGTATGATCACACAATTTAAAAATATACAAATATGTGGGTTGTTGTTGTGTTTTCCGGGCTGTATGGCCATGTACCAGAAGCATTCTCTCCTGATGTTTCACCTGCATCTATGGCTGGCACCCTCAGAGATTGTGAAGTCTGTTGGAAGTAGGAAAATAGGGTTTATATATCTGTGAAAAGCCTGAAACTGCCAGGCCATTAAATGTTAATCAAGGTGGCCAATGTAAACATTCACACCTACCTCAAACAGACAAGAGTTCTTTCTCACACCCTGGACATTCCACAGATGTATAAACCCCATTTTCCCAGTGAACCTTGTGTGCAAATCTTTCCACATTCCATGCATTTAGGTGGTGTCTCCCCTGAGTAGGTCTTTTGATAGAAATGCAGATGTTCACACTGCCTGAAATTCCACATTCCATGCATTTATGTGGCTTCTTTGTGTGGATTATTTGATGGCAATGCAGATATTGCCACTGGTTGAAGCTCTTTCAACACTGCATGCATTTATGTGCCTTCTCCGCTGTGTAGATCCTTTGATGGCGATACAGATGTTGACTATGACTGAAGCTGTTTCCACATTCCTTGCATTTATGTGGCTTCTCCCCTGTGTGGGTCCTTTGATGGATACACAGATTCTCACTCTGACAGAAGGTCTTTCCTTCATCCCATGCATTTATGGGGCTTCTCTCCTGTGTGGGTCCTTTGATGGGTATGTAGATTCTCACTCTGGCTGAAGCTCTTTCAACATTCTATACATTTATGTGACTTCACCTGTGTGGGCCATTTGATGGGAACAAAGTCCTCCATGAATTTATGTGGATTATCTCCTGTGTGGGTCCTTTGATGGATATGCAGTCTCGAACTGTGACTGAAGCTCTTTCCACATTCCATGCATTTATGTGCCTACTCCCCTGTGTGGATCCTTTGATGGGTACGCAGATGTCCACTGCGACTGAAGCTCTTTCCACATTCAATGCATTTATGTGGCTTCTCCCCTGTGTGGATTCTTTGATGGGTACGCAGATTCGCACCGTGTCTGAAGCTGTTTCCACATTCAATGCATTTATGTGGCTTCTCCCCTGTATGGGTCCTTTGATGGGAACGCAGATTTCCACTCTGACTGAAGCTCTTTCCACATTCTATGCACGTATGGGGCTTCTCCCCTGTGTGGGTCCTTTGATGGGTACGCAGATTGCTACTCTGACAGAAGCTCTTTCCACATTCCATGCATTTATGAGGCTTTTCTCCTGTGTGGGCCCTTTGATGGGTATGCAGTCTCCCACTGTGGCGGAAGCTCTTTCCACATTCCAAGCATGTATGTGGTTTCTCCCCTGTGTGGGTCCTTTGATGAATACGCAGACTTCCACTCTGACTGAAGCTCTTTCCACATTCTATGCATTTATGTGGTTTCTCCCTTGTGTGAGTTCTACGATGGGCACTTATATTCGAACTGCGACTGAAGCTCTTTCCACATTCCATGCATTTATATGGCTTCTCCCCTGTATGGGTCCTTTGATGGGAAAGCAGATGTCCACTATTACTGAAGCACTTTCCACATTCCATGCATGTATGTGGCTTCTCCCCTGTATGAGTCCTTTGATGGGTACGCAGATTGCTACTCTGACGGAAACTCTTTCCACATTCCATGCATTTATATGGCTTCTCCCCGGTATGGGTCCTTTGATGAGAAAGCAGATGTCCACTATTACTGAAGCTCTTTCCACATTCCATGCATGCATATGGCTTCTCCCCTGTGTGGGTCCTTTGATGGGTATGCAGATGTTCATTGCGACTGAAATTCTTTCCACATTCTACACATTTATATGGCTTCTCTCCTGTGTGAGTTCGTTGATGTTTAGTAAGAGAACTTCTCCAGATGAAACATTTCCCACAGTCCATACAATTATGTCGCTTCTCCCCTGTCTGTGATTTTGACAAGGAATTGATATTTTCCATTCTTTTACTTTTTTGATTCAAATATTATGCCAGAACTTCACAGATATGTTCTCCTCAACAGGACAAGATTTCCTCTTCTCTGTCTTTGTATTGCTGTCGTCTTCTTTCCTCTTTACCAAGTCCCTTTTCTTACAGCACATTCCTCTTTCCTCCTTGAATACACAGGTTTGTAGCTGGAAATATATTTTCTCCAACTTATTTCTTGTTTTTCTCAGTGCTATGTACTTTCATTGAAGGCAAAGGGCAAAGTGTTCTTCACAAGGTTCATTCAGAGGTTACCTGCCAAAAGAATGAGAGGAAAATCTCATCAGGAGCGGAGAAAAGAAAGATCTCGCTGGAGATGAGAAACAATAACCGAGTGCTGTAGCAGGGGAAGAAGGGAGAAAGACTGGCCCAACTCAGATGAGCCAACTGCGCAAAAAAGAAAAATCTCTGTTCATAGAATCAAAGAGTTGGAAGAGACCTCATGGGCCATCCAGTCCAACCCCCTGCCAAGAAACAGGAATATTGCATTCAATTCGATACAAAGGGGATTATGGGTTGACGAATATTGACGAATCAAGAGACGCCTTTTTAAAGAGCGGTCTCACGACTGCATGGTGGAATTTGCCCTTACTCCAATGAAGCATTGATTATAATTGACAACCAATCAGCCAACCCTTCTCCGACAAGTTTTATAAGCCACGACGGGCATGGGTCTAGTGCGCATGTGGTCACCCTCACCGCTCCAAGGATCACTTTGCAGGATCAGGCTGCATCAGTTGAAATGAATCCAATAAGATTAAACTGACAGGTGTCTCTGTTACCTCACCTGACACTGTAGGAAAGTTGGCGTCCAGATTGGAGCGTATCCGAGGGACTTTATCTGCAAAGTGATGCAAACTGCTGCATCGAGTGTCTGGATTGTCAAGGGGCTCCTCCATCCCAGGAGGGTGAAGGAGCTCCCCGACAACCCGAAACAACTCAGATGGTCTATTTTTTGCAGACACGTTGCGGGCGATCGAGAAAGATTTCTTGGCTGCTTCCAACGCCACGGAGTAAGCCTTAATAGAGGCTCTAGCCCGTGTTCGATCGGGAACACTCTGAGATTTCCGCCAAATGCACTCTCGTCTCCGTCTCGAGCACTTCATCAGTGCCAGCTCCTCAGTAAACGAAGGAGTTGAATTGACTCTGTGCAACGAGAGGGGACGTTCAGGGGCGATTGTGTCTAGCACCCTGGCTATCTCGTGTTATAGAGATCCACCAGGGGTTCATTCAACAGGATCACCAGCTATCATGACAGACAGATCCCCAGGAGACATCAGGGGTCCATCTGGATCCATAAGATTCCTGGATCCACAAGTCTCCTCCACTCCTGCGGAAGTTAGAGACAGTGGATAGTCTAAAACTAACCATATAATGGTGGGTCCATGACAATGGAAGAATTTTTTGCTCTTCTGCACCAACATTATTTATTTCGGGCTTTTATATCCTGTCCTCTTTCAGCCTCCCATGGTGCCCATACCAGAACAGAAATATACAATTTGACAGCAGTATAGTAATAAAACCGTATAGAACATTATAAAACAATCAAGCAGTCAGCAGTCGCCGGTTTGACTCATCATCCAAGGGGCAGTCAGTCAATTCTATAAACGTCGTCATGTCAGAAAGTCAACCTAATCTACAAAGGCCTGATCCCATAGCCAGGATTTCACTTGTTTCCGGAAGGTCAAGAGGGATGCAGCAGATCTAATTTCGCTTGGGAGGGAGTTCCATAGCCGAGGGGCCACCACAGAAAAGGCCCTGTCCCTTGTCCCCACCAGGCGTGATTGCAACAATGGGGGAACAATGAGCAGGGTCTCCCCGGATGATCTTAGGGCCCTAGGTGGATCGTAGCAAAAGATACGTTCAGACAAGTAAACTGGGCCAGAACCGTTCAGGGCTTTATAGGCCAAAACCAGCACTTTGATGAATTGTGCTCGGAAGCTGATAGCCAGCCAGTGGAGCTGGCATAACAAGGACATGTGCGCTCCCTGTACCCAGCCCCGGAGAGCAACCTGGCTGCTGAACGTTGGACTAGTTGAAGCTTCCAGCCAGCCTTCAGAGGCAGCCCCACGTAGAGTGCGTTGCAGTAGTCTATTCGGGATATAACCAGAATGTGGACCATTATCTCTGTTTATTACAAATACTAGGTCTAAAGTACGCCCCGCCTGATGAGTGGGCCCCGATATAATTTGGGACAGGCCGATGGTTGTCATGGCAACCATGAAGTCCTGAGCTGCACCAGACAAGATGGCCTCATCGCGAATGTTAAAATCTCCCAAGACTACCAGTCGTTGTGAATCCAACACCACACTAGAGACCACCTCGGCAAGCTCAGGGAGAGAGACTGCCGTGTCGTGGGGTGATCGGTACATCAGCAGAATCCCAAACCTGTCCTGGTTGGCCACTTTCAGGTGGATGCATTCAAACCCAGTAATTGCTACTTCTGACCTTTAAAATTCTTTACGGCCAGGGCCCATCCTATCTTAGGGACCGTCTCTCCTTCTCCCATCATCGGAGGTCACAACGACCATCCCAACGTGACTTACTTTATATATCGGGTCCTAGAGAGGTGCACTTGGAAAGAACCAGGCGCAGATGGGCTTTCTCTATTTCTGCCCCTCCTGCCTTGTGGAATTCCTTGCCGTCCTATATGAGGTGAGCCATGCGTGAGTTGGGGCCTTTTACCCTCGCACTTGAGACCTGGCTTTTTACTAGAGCTTTTGATCTGTGTTAATTTTATCAATATCTGTATGTATGTATTTTTATCCTTTACAACTTTAGCTTGTAAATCACCTAGAGCATCTTGGATGGAGGGCGATTAATAAGTAATTAAATGATGATGATGATGATGATGATGATGATGATGATGATTGCGGAATGGAGCATCTGGTCAGAGGGATGGATTCCTGATAGACCACCGCAATCCACTTCCCTGTCCCCAGGTCTGGCCTGTTGATGTACCTTATAGCCCGGTGGACATAGTTGAGTGAGGTTAACCCCACCCAGCTCGTCCAACCAGGTCTCAGTAATACAAGCCAGATCGGCCTTTTCTTCCAGGACCAAGGCCTGGATAGCTGCTGTTTTACTGTTTACCAATCTAGCATTCATAGAATCATAGAATCATAGAATCAAAGAGTTGGAAGAGACCTCATGGGCCATCCAGTCCAACTCCTTGCCAAGAAGCAGGAATATTGCATTCAAATCACCCCTGACAGATGGCCATCCAGCCTCTGTTTAAAAGCTTCCAAAGAAGGAGCCTCCACCACACTCCGGGGCAGAGAGTTCCACTGCTGAATGGCTCTCACAGTCAGGAAGTTCTTCCTCATATTCAGATGGAATCTCCTCTCTTGTAGTTTGAAGCCATTGTTCATTGCGTCCTAGTCTCCAAGGAAGCAGAAAACAAGCTTGCTCCCTCCTCCCTGTGGCTTCCTCTCACATATTTATACATGGCTATCATATCTCCTCTCAGCCTTCTCTTCTTCAGGCTAAACATGCCCAGCTCCTTAAGCCGCTCCTCATAGGGCTTGTTCTCCAGACCTTTTATCATTTTAGTCGCCCTCCTCTGGACACATTCCAGCTTGTCAATATCTCTCTTGAATTGTGGTGCCCAGAACTGGACACAATATTCCAGATGTAGTCTAACCAAAACAGAATAGAGGTGTCAAGACCCAGGCAGACCAGCAAAGCAAACGGCACTGTAAGAGTTAAATGAAGGTCTTTAATGTCTATTAACAAAACAAAAGGAGGCTCTTAAAGTCAGAGTTGTAAACACAAAAGGCTTGCGGTCAGCAGGAATGTAAACAAACTGGTCTCAGTCAGTCTTTGCTGGCAAAAGGAAAGCAAGTCTAAACAGAAGCAGGCAGCTTGGATTCAGCAGTAAAACTCAGTCTGTTTCAAAGGCAAACAAAACAGCAAACAGCAATCCGCATGAAGAGCGGTCCAACGAAGATTCCAGGGATTAGCAGAGGCGTAGTCAGGCAGTCCGAGGGTCAAGGCAAGGAAGACTCACGAGTCTGGTTCCGGCAGGGTTGTTCACACGATCAGGAAACACGAAGCTGCAAACAAGAGCTCACGGCAGGAGTTAAACACAAGGCACACGGTAACGCGACACTTTGAACTCTGCGATCAGTTTGTCCCCAAACTGCTCCTTAAATCTCATCAGAGTCGCTGGAGTCACTTTCAGCTGCGTCTAATTCCACAGGTGAATCCCGGCTGCGCCATTGTTGCCAGTCAGTACTTCGGGCTCCATCCTGCAAAGTATTATCTGCAACCCAAGTATCATCAAAACCCTGGAATTCATCACTAGAGGTGGGAGCAGTAATCACATCCATTACTTCCTGAACTTTAGTCCAGTCCAGCTCTTCCTCTTCGCTGTCAAACTCCCCACAATCAGCTATATCTCTAAGGCGTTTAGCAACAGATCCCACATCGCTATTCGAGCTGCTGGCTACTCTCTTTACACCTCTGTAATCTTCCAGCTCCATTTCCTCGTGAGTAAAACCCTCAAAATCCTCCTCATCCGTAGTCTCTAAGAACAAGTCTCTAATCCGTTTCAGCTGTTGCTGAGCTTCTTCATCCTCTAAACCACGTTTCCTTCTACTACTAGTAGTAGGTGCATGAGACAAACGCTGAGTCTCAACAAGAGGGGTAGCATTACTTCCTTAGATCTAGACACTATGCTCCTATTGATGCAGGCCAAAATCCCATTGGCTTTTTTTGCCGCCACATCACATTCCTGGCTCATGTTTAACTTCCTGTCCACGAGGACTCCAAGATCTTTTTCACACGTACTGCTCTCGAGCCAGGCATCCCCCATTCTGTATCTTTGCATTTCGTTTTTCCTGCCAAAGTGGAGTATCTTGCATTTGTCACTGTTGAACTTCATTTTGTTAGTTTTGGCCCATCTCTCTAATCTGTCAAGATCGTTTTGAATCCTGCTCCTGTCCTCTGGAGTATTGGCTATCCCTCCCAATTTGGTGTCGTCTGCAAACTTGATGATCATGCCTTCTAGCCCTTCATCTAAGTCATTAATAAAGATGTTGAACAGGACCGGGCCCAGGACGGAACCCTGCGGCACTCCGCTCGTCACTTCTTTCCAAGATGAAGATGAAGCATTAGTGAGCACTCTCTGTGTTCGTCCACTTAACCAATTACAGATCCACCTCACCGTAGTTTTGCCTAGCCCACATTGGACTAGTTTCCTTGCCAGAAGGTCATGGGGGAACCTTGTCGAAGGCCTTACTGAAATCCAGGTACGCTACATCCACGGCATTCCCCGCATCTACCCAGCTTGTAGCTCTATCGAAGAAAGAGATCAGATTAGTCTGGCATGACTTGTTTTTGATAAATCCATGTTGACTATTAGCGATGACTGCATTTGTTTCTAAGTGTTTGCAGACCGCTTCCTTAACAATCTTTTCCAGAATCTTGCCCGGTATCGATGTGAGGCTGACCGGATGGTAGTTGTTTGGGTCATCCTTTTTTCCCTTCTTGAAGATTGGGACCACATTGGCCCTCCTCCAATCTGCTGGAACTTCTCCCGTTCTCCAAGAACTCTCAAAGATGGTTGCCAATGGTTCCGAAATGACTTCCGCTAGTTCCTTCAATACTCTGGGGTGTAGTTGATCTGGCCCTGGGGACTTGAACTCATTAAGAGCGGCCAGGTATTCCTGAACGACTTCTTTCCCAATTTGGGGTTGGATGTCCTCCAATCCCTCATCCACTCCATCTTGCTGAGGTTGAAGACTCTCTTTTTGTGAGAAGACCGAGGCAAAGAAGGCATTAAGTAGTTCTGCCTTTTCCCTATCCCCTGTCAGCATTGCCCCATCTTCTCCTCAAAGAGGTCCTATCGCCTCCTTGTTTTTCCTTTTTCTACTGACATATGAAAAGAAGCCCTTTTTATTGTTTTTAATGTCCCTGGCAAGCCTGAACTCGTTTTGTGCTTTAGCCTTGCGGACCTTTTCCCTACAGGTGTTGGCTATTTGTTTGAATTCTTCTTTGGTGATTTCTCCCTTTTTCCAGTTCTTGTGCATGTCTCTTTTGTGGAGCAAGCTTGTTTTCTGCTTCCTTGGAGACTAGGACGCAACGGAACAATGGCTTAAACTACAAGAGAGGAGATTCCATCTGAACATGAGGAAGAACTTCCTGACTGTGAGAGCCGTTCAGCAGGGGAACTCTCTGCCCCGGAGTGTGGTGGAGGCTCCTTCTTTGGAAGCTTTTAAACAGAGGCTGGATGGCCATCTGTCAGGGGTGATTTGAATGCAATATTCCTGCTTCTTGGCAGGGGGTTGGACTGGATGGCCCATGAGGTCTCTTCCAACTCTTTGATTCTATGATTCTAAGGGAAACATTAACCACCACCTTCACCCGCTCTGCCAATCCCCCTCTGGCCTCCTTTAGAAGCCATCATGGGCAGGGGTCGAGGATGCACGTGGTCGGCCTCATTCCTCCAAGTATCTTGTCCACATCCTCGGGATTCGCCAACTGAAATGAATCAATCAAAACCGGACAAGCAGATGCTCATGTTACATTCTCCCTCATCCTTCCTCACCTTTAGAAAGAAGGTAAAAACGTGGATGTGGGACCAGACCTTCGGGCAATTAGGTTAAAAGGACAATTGACAATGTTGACTAGGGCTTGGAAGTGGATTATGGGTACGTTAAACGGAGTACTCAGTCATAGCATACGGCTAGATAAATGGCCACCAGACTGGTAATAGCTCAATGGACTGTAAGAATACTGTTTTCATCTTTATGTCTTAATATGTTTATGCTTTTAACTGTTTTGTATTTTATTATATAGTATCGAATTGTTGCCAATTGGAAGCCGCCCTGAGTCCTGTCCCCCCCCCCCCCCCGGGGTTGAGAAGGGCGGGGTAAAAGTGTTCGAAATAAACAAATAAATAAATAACCAGGGCAACGAGGAGACTAAAGTCGTGGTGGTGCGTGGAGCCGAGATTTGACTTTTAAAATGTCTTTACTGGAGGCACTTTTTTACAAAAAGGAGTAACTCATTATTACGCCAACCAGAATCCTTTCTTCCAGTATCTACAGCCGCCTTCTTCTGAGGTAAATCTTCTTCTCAATAAATGGACACGAGTCTTGATTATAAAGAACTGATCAAGGAAATATTTATTTAAGGATTCACTGGCTTGCCTTTTTCTCCCTTCCGCTTTCCCCTTCGCTCATGAGCTAATTCCTAATTTAAAGAGGCCCAATTGACTCTGTAAACACGCAGGCTGAGGACTTAAACCCCCGGGTTCAGGGTCTCCACACACCAGAACCCAACTTCCACTCTTGTCCGCTGACTAAAAGAAACGCTCTCTTTCCAAACGCCTGCCCCGGCCGAGTGGCAGTTAGCTCCGCCCCTTTGGCTTCTCTCACTTGGATACATTCTCATAGCCGGTTCCGTCGCTATGGCAACGCCTCAGCTCAGGCGACACATCAGCTGGCCTGCACTTATATCGTAACATTAATCAACATTTATAAATCATACATTATAATTAGTACTTCGTTACAGCCTCTAACCAATGGCAGATAGCAAACCGCATGGCAGAGAAGGACGGGCACATACAAGCCGCTCCCACCCTTCTCTCCAGATTCCGTCCCTGTCACGCCATCTTCTCTGATTTCTTAACCCTTGAGATTGTTGTGCTGTGAACACGTGTCTATTAAGGACTGTCTCATGACACACTGGAGGGGAGTGTCGTGCATTCCTATCTATCTTTTTCTACACGACAGTCAGGTCACATTTATTTATTTATTTATTTATTTATTTTATTTGCTATGCTTGTATACCGCTGTTTCTCAGCCTAGCCGGCAACTCAACGCGGTTTACAACAAAATACAACAGTCAACAGTATACAATTTAAAACCATAAAAGCATAATACACAATATTTGCACATCAATAACAATCCAATGCATCTCCTGACTAAAATCGTGATCCAGTTTCATCGTCCATATTACCAATCCTTTAATCAGTACATTCATTGCACCGAATTAACCAAATGCCTGTTCGAACATCCAGGTTTTTAATCTTCTACGGAACACCATCAGCGAGGGGGCTGATCTTACCTCCATGGGAAGGGCGTTCCATAGCCGAGGGGCCACCACAGAAAAGGCCCTGTCTCTCGTCCCCGCCAGCTGCACCTGTGAAGCAGGCGGGATAGAGAGCAGGGCCTCCCCAGAAGATCTTAGGGTCCTGGCGGGCTGATATCATGGCTGCCGAACGTTGGATTAATTGGAGCTTCCAAGCTGTCTTCAAAGGCAACCCCACGTAGAGAGCGTTGCAGTAGTCTAAACGGATGTAACCAGAGCATGGACTACCGTGGCCAAGTCAGACTTCCCAAGGTATGGGCGCAGCTGGCGCATGAGTTTTAACTGTGCGAATGCTCCCCTGGTCACCGCTGAAACCTGGGCTTCCAGGCTCAGCGATGAGTCCAGGGTCACACCCAAACTGCGAACCTGCTTCTTCAGGGGGAGTGCGACCCCATCCAACACAGGCTGTAACCCTATGCCCTGTTCGGCCTTACGACTAACCA